TGGGGGTATGAATTCTCACTTTTCCACATGTACAGATTGCAGGATCACATTGGTTATACAGTTGTATCTGCATTATTAAATCTATATATCTCTTCTCAGCTGCTTTTTACCACTGTTCTTGAGAATGTCGTTAGCTTGAACTTTTCGAAGATCTGCTGCAAATGAAATCAGTTATTTTGTGAAGAGATTAGAAACTACCTGCTTCTCCCCTATGGAAAAACTCTTGAGGCAGGGTCTTGGAGCTCGGGGGAGGGACAACAGCAAAGCTTCTCTCTAGAGTGAACTTCTGCCTTAAGAGCTGAGTGCATGGCTGAGGGAAGGAATCAGAAGTTTGAAATCCCCTCCTGTTGTCTCTCCTGGTGTGAAATCAATGTTTCATGAGCCAGAGTGAGGGCAGCTGGGGCCCCAGTATTCTCAGTGTGCCAAGCTGAAGGTAAAGCCTCCATTCCAGGAGAAATGCTGGGAGAAAGAAGGAAGCCCACACCCCTGGACTTTTCCAAGGTTTAGCTTCAGAAATAGGTAGCCAGAGGCACGAGAAGAATCACTGAAGTCCTGCTCCTCCCAGGAAGAAGGCCCCTTGATTGGGACTGGGGGTTGGCGGGTGGGAAGATATCTCTGTGTTTTTGTCAGAAGCAGTCTGATGTGGAGCCTGTCTCACTGGGCTGGGAAAGAGGAAGGATACAGTGGTCTTCACTGAAGTATCACAGACTCTTGCCTTTTTTACAGTGTTTTTATAAAATTGCTTGAATGGATGAAAGTTCATTTACTGTTTGCCTTTGGGTTCATTTCTAGAGGCTCTAAGTGGTTGTTTTTAAAAAATAATATTTACAGGTTTCACTGGTAAATGGGTCGGTGGAGCCCTTCATCCTATCATGCCAGAAGTCCGTGCTTTACTTAAGACAGGGTATTTACATGGAAATTGTTTTTTTATGAGCTTTTTCTCAAAAAATGTTTTATTTATAAATATGTGTGAATGTGTTTTATCATTATACCTGATACGGAATTCCAGATTAAAAACATTTTCTAATAATTTTGAAGATATTACAGTTGTCCTTTAGCTTCCAGAGCTGTTGATAGTCAAACACCGTTCATACTACTCTGAATCATATTTTTATGATCCCATTCTTTTTGGATTCTGGTGTTTTGTAACATGCTCTGTGGATCTTTTCCATTTTTGTGCTGGGTACTTGGTAAACCCTTTCCATCTGAAGTCACATTCTTTTAGATCTGGCAACATTTCTTGTACAATTTCTTTTATAATTTCCTCTGCTCCATTTTATTATTTTCTCTTTTGAGTAATCTATATTTAGATGTCAGTCTACTAGGATTGATTCATCTTATTCCTTATTTTCCATCTCTATCTTTTTGTTCTAATATTCAAATTCATCTTCATCTTCTAGTCCTTCCATTGAATTTTTGTATAAATATATATATTGTATCACATACTTGGCAATGCTGGGGATAGAACCCAAGGCTTCATGCATGCTATGCAAGTGCTCTACACTGAACTACATATCTAGTCCCTTCTGTTGAACTTCTAAATTTCTGATTAAAAAAAAATTCTGGGTGCTATGGCAGAATTTTTTTTTAAATCAGGTATGAAGTGGATTTATTCTTCACACCTGTAATCCCAGTGACTTGGGAGGCTGAGACAGGAGGATTACAAATTTGAAGCCAGTCTCAGCACTTAGTGAGACCCTCAGTAACTTAGAACCTGTCTCGAAATAATAAAGGCACAGGCATGTAGTTTGGTGGTAAAGCGCCTATGAGTTCCATCCTCAATACCCACCAAAAAATTCTACTTTTTAATTTTTCTGTTTTTCAGTATTTATTTTTCATTGTGCTTCCTATCTTATTGCATAACTCCCTTTTCTTGTTTCATAACAATGGCCTTTATTATTATTTGAAGATATTATTTAAAACTGTTTTAAATTATTTTCCTGATGTCTGCTTTGGCTCTATCTCTTCAAAGATCCTTATTTTATGCTAGTTCTTATCTATGTCTTTCATGTAAGAGATGTTTCTTATAAGTCTTATGATTCCTGGTTGTCTACATTTAAGAGTGAGATGTTTGTATTGCAGTAACAACATGTCAATCTCTCTCTTTTTTGTTGCAAGCTGCAGATGTCAGTATCTGAATGAAGGACATTAATTAGAATTTCCTGCCAGCATATGGGCAGACAGGTGGGATAAATAGAATATACAGGATCTAACAACGCAATACATTTTCACTTAATTTCTCTGTTTTCAGTAGAGGACTTACTCCTATATTGTCTGAGTCTGATATCCCAGAGTTTCTCTGGTCTAACCTCTCTAGAGACTAATTCTCTATACTGCTTGGAGAAGAGATATTTGCCCAGCTGTGAAGTGAGGAAAGGGTTCTGTAGATCAAATTGTTCTTTTACAAGACTTTCTGCCAATTTTTCTATTTTTACCCATATACCACATATGTCTCACTGTGGAGGGATCTGTCTACTTCTTGAAGCTTTTAGTTTTGTGATATGAAGTGGATTTATTCTTCCTGGCTTACCCACTTTTCAGACTTGGTTTTTAGCTTTGTGTTCCATCTACTTTTTTTTAAAATTTTTATTAGTTGCTCAAAACAATACAATGATCTTGACATATTATACATTTGATTCAAATGGGGTATAAATTCTTATTTTTCCACATGTACAGACTGCAGTATCACATTGGTTACACAGCCACGTTTATACATACAGCCATATTAGTGTCTGTTGTATTCTGCTACCCTTCCTATCCAGCCTCCCCTCCCCTCCCCTTCCATCACCTCTCTCTACCTAATCTACTGTGACACATTTTTCTCTCTTTTTTCTTCTCCCTCACACCATCTTATGTGTAATTTTGCATAACAATGAGGGTCTCCTTCCATCTTCTGTGCAATTCCCCTTCTCTCTCCCTTTCCCTCCCACCTTTCGTCCCTATTTAATGGTAATCTTCTTCTCATGCTCTTCCTCCCTGCTCTGTTTTGAGTCGCCTCCCTTATATCAAAGAAGACATTCAGCATTTGTTTTTTAGGGATTGGCTAACTTCGCTTAGCATAATTTGCTCTAATGCCATCCATTTCCCTGCAAATGCCATGATTTTGTTATTTTTTAGTGCTGCGTAGTACTCCATGGTGTATAAATGCCACATTTTTTTTTTATCCATTCATCTATTGAAGGGCATTTGGGTTGGTTCTAGGGTCTAGCTATTGTGAATTGTGCTGCTATGAATATTGATGTAGCTGTGTACCTGTAGTATGCTCTTTTAAGGTCTTTTGGGTATAGTCCAAGAAGGGGAATAGCTGGGTCAAATGGTGGTTCCATTCTCAGCTTTCCAAGGAATCTCCATACTGCTTTCCAAATTGGCTGCACCAATTTGCAGTCCCACCAGCAATGTAAAAGTGTACCCTTTCCCCCACATCCTCGCCAGTACTTGTCCCATCTACTTTGTTTTTAAAAATTCAATTAACATCCCATATCTGCTATCATGTTCCCTAGACTCTTTGTCTTTGTAGATTATACCTTTTCATTTCTTTTACATCCTTTTTCCATTTTAGAAAGCAGCAGTAATGAATGTAAATATGCAGTCTGCTATGTTTATCCAGAAGTATTTAAGATATTTACCTCTGCCTTACTCAACTAAAAATCTTTTTATTTGTAGATGGACACAATACCTTTATTTTATTTTTAAATTTTTATGTGGTGTTGAGGATCAAACCCAGTGCCTCACACATGCTAGGCAAGTGTTCTACCATTGAGCTACAATCACAGCTCCAAATTACAAACTTTTAAAGTGCAAAAAACATTTTATTTTGAATAGTAGGACTCTGGTAGATATCTTCATATTTCTGGAATCTCAAAAAGTGCCTTAAAAATAGAAATTATTTAATAGCCACAACTGAATGTTGATTCATTAAAAATATAGTAACTAACATTTTGTTCTATATCTTAAATATTTAAAAACATTAAAAAATTTCATATTAATTATTTTGTTTTATCTACACCATCATTGTTTTACATATAGATAATATTTAAATCATTGCTTAGATTGACTTAAGGTATTTTACCACATATTATGACTACTGCCATGTACTTTTTACTATATCAATGTGAAATTCAAGGTTACCCAAATTTGCCATGGTTAGGTATGATTTTGTGGTTTTTCATTGCTTTTTATTTCAGTTTTTGACTTCCCTTACTGTTAAAGTTTATCAGCTAATTTAAAATAATATCCACTCTGTGAAGTTGGAAGTCTATAGGCATAGTTGCTCAATCTCTCCTTCTTTCATAGTAATACAAACTTATTAATATTATAGCATTTACCATAGAATATAACATTTTTTTTGCATGTGTTATCCATGTGTAAGTTGAGTTCTTTTAGGATCTGAACTTTGTCTTATTCATCTTGGTAACTTGGAGCCTATTATAATGTCTAGTACCCAATGATCACTAAGTTGTTTTTATTGGATGAACAAATACCTCATTAATAAATTTAATGCTGGGGCTGGGGTTGTTGCTCAGCAGTGGAGCGCTTGCCTAGCATGTGTAAGGTGCTGGGTTTGATCCTCAGCACCACATAAAAATAAATAAATAAAACAAAAGTATTGTGTTCACCTACAACAAAAAAGAATATATATTTAAAGTAAATAAATAAATAAATGAAAATGCTTACCATCACATGGCAAAGTTTTCATTAACACAGAGTTTTCCTTCAGGTGGATTCTTAACCCTATGTTTTCCAGAACATCTTGCACATCTTCATAGTTTATTTCTTTTCCTTAGAAAATAAAATAAAATTAAGTGGCCAAATTCCATTTGTAAATACCAACAAAAATAACTATTCTGTGTACCATTGCCTCCAAATGCAGAATAAAAACAATGGAAACACTGAATGTTGTATAATTAAATAGAATTAGAAGGGGGATTAAAAATAGAATTTATTTCTGATAAAAGGGAGCTCTTTAATTTGGGGAAGAAAAAACAAACATAGCTCGCTCACCAAAAGTTGGTGTTTCTGTAACAATCTCTAAATGAGTTGGTGTAAATCATTCTGCCATCATGTTAATATTTGTCATATTCTTTTATTTTTGCCTTAATTGTGACCATGTTCACAGATGTCATGTGTGTAATTTGCTTTGACATCTTGCTATTAAAACAGAATAAGAATTATATTATTAAAAAACTCGACAGAATTGTTACTTAGGCACTACACTGTGACCTTTTAAATAAGATGTGGGTAACAACTTATTACAGTGATGAATAAAAATTTACAAAGCATGTATGATTAGTTGTGTATAGTTACCAGTAAAAATAGATACAATGACAGGATCAATATACAATGAACAAGTTAACAGAAAACACTTTTAAAAATAACTTTTTTTATGTATTAAGAAATCATTTTCATTTTTTCTTCTCATCATTTCTTCTCACTCACCTAAAAATTCATTTACTTCATCCAGAAGTAAATTCATTTGAACTCTTCTTTCATCTGTAAGACAAGACATGATTTAGATATGTTCTTGCTATGGATTGAATTATAATCTCCAAAATTCACATGTTGAAGCCCTAATCTCCTATGTACTGTATTCATAGGGTCTTTAGAGGTTAATTAAAGTTAAATGAAGTCATAAGGGTAGGGAACTAATCTGATAAAAATGTAGTCTTATAAGAAATATGTCTCTCTTTTTCTCCCCAATCTCCTTCCTGCTAAGTGAAGACAGTGAGAAGGCAAGTTGTCTATAAGCCAGAAGGAGAACCTATCAGAAACTAAATCTTCTGGGCCCTTGATTTTGGGATTCCCCAGACTCTAGAAATGTAGGAAAATTAATATTTGTTGTTTAGGAACCTGATTGGTCTATGGCAGTCCAAGTAGACTAATAAGGTCCCAGTTACATATAATTTGTGAACTGTGAAGTCAAGTGTTAAGAATTGAATAGTTGCCTAGAATTTTTAACTCTTCCTTCCCCTCCCTCTTTCCGTCCCTCCCTCTCTCCCTTCCTTCCTGTCTTTCTTTCTCTCCCCCATCTTCTTTCTTTCTTGCTACTGGAAATCAAACCCAGTGGTTCTCTACCATTGATTTATACCCCCAGTTTTTTATTTTTAATTTTGAGACAGGGTCTTGTTAAATTGTCTAGGCTGGCCTTGAACTTGAAGCCTCAGGCTCTTGAGCTGCTGGGATTACAGGTGTGCCCCACCACACTTGGCACCTAGAATTTTTTCTAATCATATTTTTAATTTCCTCTTTAAGCATAAAGATGAAAAAACAAAAGGAATCTAAATATTAACACATTTATTATATTCAGTTAAATTTTCCTGTATTCCTCACGCATTGGCACTTAAGATAAAAATGATAAAAATAAGAAGTTGTTTTCAATTCTTAATTCATCAAATATTTTTTGGGTATGCCAGCACTGTTTTCAGTGAAGATACAATGGCAAAAAACATGAAGTTTCTGCTTATGTGTCAGCAGTCACTAATAAAACAAACACTGGGTTATGAACAAGTTCACCTCAACAAGAGAAGTACTTCACTGAAACACAGAAATTTATTCCCTCTTAAATATTCAATGTATTTAAAATATCTCTCTAGCTGCTCTTTAGCTCCCTTTAATTTATTGCTGTATCTTTGTTTCTTTGGCTGTATTTTTGAAATTCAATTCTTGGTAACTGCAGAGCAGAGGCAAATTCCACTAATGTTTATTTTGAGACATTCAGCTGGACTACCCTCTAGATAATTTAGGATAGGGCCATATCCAATTCCAACAGGAGCTTTATATAATTTTGTGTTACATAATCACAAAAAAGAATTAAAGATTGGACAAAAAGTAGGAGACCACTTTTTTTGTCAAATAGAAAGACTTATGATTTGAGGCTTGATCAGTTCATATTAGATAAGCTTTGGTAGATTAGCACTTCTGGAATGCTTATCAAAGTACTAATCAACATATAGCATTATCATAAGATAATAAAGATGGTAAGATGCTTAGAGTTAAACAGAATGTTTTGATTAGGTTCTTTTGCTAAACATCATGCAAAAAACTGCTAATCCTAAGTAAACATGCCAATATATTTTTCTTTATTGTAAACTTAAAAAAAATAACTGTAGAGTGGCTGCTTTTAAAATAAAGATTTATGAGATCTGCTTCTACTCTACTTGAACACAGTCTTGAGGGGATGAGTAATTTATATGATTCTAAAGTTTGATACCTACAAATTTATTGATATAACTGTTAAACATGTGTTGTACACATTTTATAGTACAAGTAACTTTTAATGATTTCCACAATTGTTTTTTTCTCCGTTTTTTCTGTTTATTGCTCTCTGAATTCTTTAATCATTTTATTCTCCCTCCCCTCAAAAAATTTTACAGAATCTCTACTTTTTAAATTGTCTACTTTATCCCAACATTGAGCACAATCTCATGTGGTCTCATTTTCTGGCACAGGAATTCTGGTAGCAGAGATATAAGCAACTATTAACATTCTATCTTAGGTTAATATTAAGAGACATTTCCATTCTTCAATATTGGTCTTGTATGCTTCTGAATTTTTTCATGAAAGTAACAAGGATACTTGAGATGTTCCCCTAGGAAAATACAATTCTGAAAGGCTCACCATCAACTGGCAGGTGGTCACACAGTTCCTCAATTTCTTCATAGTCAAGTAAGTATCCCAAAGTTTCAAGAGCATCATCTATTTTATCAATATTGACCTTTCCTCCTTAAGAAAAAAAGGGATAAAAATAAAGGAAATTTGTATTTATGATAAAGAGGGGAAAATGGTTGCTTTTATCAATAAATCAACACAAACAGGAAGTAAAAAGCAGCAGTACAATAAGTATTTAAAGTGAACAAAAATATCAGTTGGAGGTTAGGAAGACAAAAATTCTCTATCATCAAAGTTTTAGGAAACACTAATACATCAATTTCTAGGGTATTTACTAGAAGGAAGAGAAAAGTAGGCAAAACTGATGAATTATAGCAGGGGACAACCTAACCCAAAATTTGGTACACATAAGTAAGATTTGAAATTTGCTACAGTGACCAAATAGTACAGTATGTTATGGCAAATGTGAAATAAGAAATAAGAAGCCAACTCATAATTTAAAGAATGTAGTAACATAATTAGTAATATAGTCATTGAGAAATGAGAGGTTCTAGACAAGTACACACAAAAGCTTTAAAATCTTAGTTTTATTGTCCTCAAGTATAATTTATACTCACTTCTGTAAGTCTTCACTCCATCAATCAATCTCTTCTTATACACCATTTTATTATCTGTAAGATAAAGGTCAATTAATTCACAAAGAAGTCAACATTTGGAAAGACGGTAATATTTAATTACTTGTAACTTATAAAATTAATTTTCTTATTTAAAACCCAAAGATAGAAGCAAGGAAAGTAATACGATTCTTAGGGTTAGCCATTCTTTTTTCTGGCATTTGATGTACTATCAGTAGAACTCTACGATATTGAAACACAGATTTTTTTTCTTTTTTTAAAAAATATATTTTTGGTACTGAGGATTGAACCTAGGGGTGCTTTTATCACTGAGCTACATCTCCACACTGATACAAGGTCTTACTCAGTTGCTGAGGCTGGCCCTGAACCTATGATTCTCCTGCCTTAGCCTTTGGAGTTGCTAGGATTATAGGTATGTGCCACCACACTGGCTTTCACTTTTATTTCTTTCTAAGCTGTACCTTTCTTCCTTTCTATAAATCTGATTATCATCTTTTCTGTCTTTAGCTTGGGCTTGTCACTTTTATATACTGGATCCAGTATTTAAAACTATCCATAGTAGCAATACCCCTAAAGAGACCATTGTATCCAAAAAATAAGATATAAATGGTGAGGACAGGATCTTTTATGACAGATTTGACTCTTTTCACACAATATTTTTATTTATTTATTGAACCCAGGGCCTCATCTATGCTAAAAAAGCACTCTACTGATGAACCAGCCTTTTTCTCTTAAATTTTTTAATGGGATGTTAAACAGTTTTACTTCTAGAACTTTATGCACACAACTCAGAAGCCTACGAGCATCTGAAGTTGACTGCAATATCTGAAATGCTTACCATCCAATGGCACTGTCTCCAGTAGTGCCTTATTTTCATCCTTTGTTAATTCAATACCTACTTTTCCCAGACAAAGTTGTACGTCACTGGCATTAATCTTATCACCTTTAAGAAGATGGAAATGTGATAAGTGAACATTTTCATCTATGATTCCACATTAAGAAAAAAATACTAAAACAGTATATGCAAAAGTTATAATTGCAGAAAAACAAGGACACGATGAGGCTAATCTAGCTGAGAGCATTGTAAAGAAGGAGCTAAAACCAGAACATGTTTCCTTTAAGCATGGTCAAAAGAATGCTTTTCTTTATGTTCTAAAAATAATGGGGGAAAAGCCAGCCAGCCTATAATAAAATGAACTTCTTAAAAAATTGATATTTCTCAAATAGTAGGTAATAAGAAACCCATCCATATTTTAAAAGCAAACATGTCATCAAAACATTGGTAAAATAAGGCTTGTGTGCCATTTTTTGTAGACTGGAATTACAATTAAAAAGGTATATATACACACACACAACAAAGAATCTTGATCTTATATCTTTTAATTACTTCTCACTTACCAGAAAATAAATTGGCTGTATTCATCAAAGAATTCAGTGAAATTTTTCCATTATCTAAAGTACAAAGAATAAATTAGATATAGGCAGAATTTTTATTGCTACATAGAATGGGATCACTTTTTTCCTATGAAATTTTCTAAGGTCTTTACTTTTACAGATCATATTTGTTGATTTTATTTATTTATTTATTTATTTATTTATTGGTTTCAGGGATTGAATCTAAGGGTGCTTAACCACTGAGCCACATTCCCAGCTCTTTTTACTTTATTATTATTTTTTATTTTGAGGAGGGTCTCTCTAAGTTGCTTAGAGCCTTGCTAAGTTGCTGAGGTTGGCTTTGAACCCATCCTCCTGCCTCAGCCTGTTGAGCTGCTGGGATTATAGGCATGTGCCACCATGCCCATTCTTGAAAGGTTTTTTTTTGGGGGGGCAGGGGGATACAGTTGTTAAACTCAGAGGCACTCGACCACTGAGCCACATCTCCAGCCCTATTTTGTATTTTATTTAAAGATAGGGTCTCACTGAGTTGCCATTGCTAAGACTGGCTTTGAATTGTGATCCTCATGCCTCATCCTTCCAAGCTGCTGGGATTACAGGTATGTGCCACCGTACCCAGCTTGACTTTTGTTTTTTAAATATTCAATTATAGAATTCTAAAGAAGATATTTTAACATGTTAAATTATAACTTAAATTCTTCTTCTAAATAATCATTTTGATATAAAAATACCTCTTTTGGTGCTGAATTAATGGTTTCAATCAGAAATCACTTATCCTTTATTTCGACCCCATCTGACATTTTCCTCATATTTGTTCAATAAAAACATGATCCTCTCTGTGTATTACTTTGTCAAACAATTCCAAACCTTTTTACCTTCTCACTTGTTTTTTTCAGTCTTTGATCTTTTCCCACATCTGTTTCAACAACTTCCATAATTTTCCTCTGAAGTATTTTTTTTTCTAGCTAAATCTAAATCTACCAGTACACTTATCAGTTCTCTGTCAATATTGAGATTAATAATCAGAAGTTATATTTTCATCCTTGAAGATTACAACTATATAAGTACTTTATTTCTTCTTACTTTGTTAGTGAAATTGAGCAAAAATAATCCCAGAGGGTAGGGGTTGTGGCTCAGTGGTAGAGGGTGGAGCATGTGTGAGGCACCTGGTTCAATTCTCAACACCACATATAAATAAATAAAATAAAGGTCCATTAACAATTAAAAAATATTTTTAAAAAATTCCAGATATTTTAATTAAAGACTTCAAAGATTCATCTGAAAGGAAGTAGTGAGTGATTAAAGAAATACTCACCATCGACTTTTAAATGATCCTGTAGATCTTTCATTTCATTTTGTTCAAGTGAATAGTTCATGCTTTCCAGAATGGTTTCTAGTTTATTTTTTAAAACCTTCCCTCCTTAAGAAATAGATTAAATAAGAAAAATATTATTATGCTTAAAAATTTTTAAAGGTGCTTATTTCTACTCACCAAATCCCAGGGGAGGGACAAATGCAAAGTTGCAATGCAGACATTCAAGGCGGGCAGGAGATGGGGGTGGGTGATGAGGAAAAGGACATTTATTTATATGTTATAAGATATGCTGCTAAAATTTTTAGTAGATGTCTGAAGCAAAGAAAATGAAAAGGCTTATAAATTCTTCATTTATTTTTCATAGTAGAGAGATATAGCAGAAACAACAGCGATAATTGTGGCTACCAAGTGTGGAATCTAACATAACAGTAAATTACCTCTACAAATTTAGTGTTTATCTGAGCCTGACTAAATATCATATGGGGAGGGGGTGAAAGTATCAATAAACTGTTAAATATAGTGGTTAAGAACATTGGTCTAAATCCCCACTTTTCCCCAGTTCAAACTGGGACCTTAGGTAAATGAATCAACATCTCTCATTTGTGAAATGTTGACAATAAAAGTACCTACTTAATAGTATTCATATGAAAATTAAATAAGTTAATAGATGTGTTTAGAATAGTCCATAGAACTATACTTGATAGAAATGAGTGCAGGACACTTTGGCACTCGCCTGTAATCTCAATGACGGGGGAGTCTGAGGCAGGGAGATTGCCAAGTTCAAAGTTAGTCTTAGCAATTTAGTTAGCCCAAACATCTTAGAGAGAACCTGTCTCAAAATAAAAAAGGGATGGGGTTGTGGCTCAGGGAAAAGCACTCCTGGGTTCAAGCCCCAGTACAAACAAAACAAAACAAAAACAAAAAACCCAGAAGTTTTACTTGACTTGTTTGTCACTCACTGCGGAAAGTCTTTAAACCATCTAGCAATCGATTGTGATACACCTTTCCATCAGCTGTAATAGAAGAAATAATTGATGTCACAGATAAAGTGATACTGACATCCATAACAACAGCATGGGTTTTTACTTCAAGAAGACAATATTCTCTCATGCTTTGCCTTATAGATTTCCTAAATTCTTAACCACATAGCCTTCTCTTCCTGGGCTTTAAGAATCAAATGAAGAAGTAGAAGGCTGGGGATAAAGCTCAGTTGGTAGAGTGCTTGTCTTGTATGCCCAAGGCCATGGGTTCAATCCCCAGCCCCACAAACAAACAAAGAAACAAAGTAGAGATAGTTAAATTTATCCTTGTACTATGCTGAAACTTTCTCTCTGATTTAACCCTTATTATTTTGTTGTTATTATCTGACTTCTTTTCTCCCCCTCTTTCTCTTTATGTTTTAGGGCTGTCAGACATTCTAAAGACAGCATCCTAAGTTAAAAAATTTAATAAAATTTTATAAACTAATAAAATTTCTTAATTTATTCATTTATGAAGTTCTCAAGCTCAATCTTAATAGAGTAAGCTCCACCCTCTACAATATCTCCATGAATACAAGGACTTTTGTCTTTAACTTCAGCACCTAGGAAGAAATCATATGTTGAATAAAAGTAAATATGTAATAAATGTTCAATGATTCTCCACTTCCCCAGTTATATATACACTTAAACCAAGTTTCCTTGAAGACCAAAATGATTAGAAATGCTCACACATCATTGGCAGAGTTTTTAGTAGCTCCCAGCGTTCCTTAGATGTGAGTTCTATCCCCATAGTTTTCAAAACACCATCTACTTCATTTGCATCAATCTTGGTTCCTTTGAATAGAAAGAGAAGATGACTGAGAAAATTTTAGAGCAACAAATGATTTTAAACTGTGAATGTCATCTAAGTTTAACTATAGAATTAAATGGTCAAAATGCTGAGTCTAGATTCTAAGGGGATGTCAGAAGTAGTACTCAATTTTCTAATTTTAGAGAGAAAATTTCTTTTTGAATGCTCTAATAATTGGATAAATCAACACTCTGAAATGGAGGTTGTAGAATGGAATAGAATGACTATTTTATAAGTGACTATATAAAAAAATCTATAAATAGATAACATCCATATTATTTTTTGCCTATATGATAAATTATCCCTAAAAAGTTATGATACTGTATTATCTACCAATATCTAAGGCAACCTATATTTTTGAATATTTAAACAGTGAGAAAGTGATATGCATTATTAAAAAAACCTGTAAAATACACAGTATTATATCAAGATTTAATAATTTAACTTTTTTTTCAAAAAGCATATGATTAAAAATTAATCTGGATTACTAGAAAGTAAACATTATTAATATATCCAGAAGATTAATGTGTCAATGTCAGTATGATGGGAACACAATATTTAAAAGTATTAGAATTTTGCTATTTAAAATAATTTCCCCTGTAACCTTTCACTCACCTGTAAATAATTTTACATTTTCCATCACCTCATTCAGTTTAGTCATGCTTTCATCTGTAAAATAAGGTACAAAGGAGACCCAGCCATTGTTACTCAGACCTAGAAAACCTGGTAGGAGACTTTTTTTTTTTTTTTTGTAGAATTAAAACACTGAAATGCAGAGGTTTACTCTGATTTCTTCTATAAATGCTTTTCTTCTATCAATGGTTTTCATCCCCAAATGAACATGGGGATGCTCTATAGAATGCTTTATTTCTTAATAGCATTTTCTATTTCTTTTTCATAGGATTAAAAAAACCAACCTATTTTTATATAGTCAAACATGCTTTAAAATGTTAACTACATATTATCATATTAGCTGAGAATTGAATATTATTCAATTGAGGAGTATCCCTCACCCCAACTTGCTGATTAGTATCTATTCCTGCTTCACTTGGTAATAGTGTATTACTTTTTCTGGGAGGATATAACCTCTCACCCTTCATGAGAAATCTGTAGGCACCGGCAATTAAAGTGCCCACACTTTCCTGGTCATTGGGTATGTGATTCAAACTAGCCATGACTGACTCTGTCCTAAGACTCTGAATTTTGAAAAAAAAATGATGCAAGGTGATTCATCTAGCTTCATTACCTCGATGAAACCGTTAACTAGTTCCTATGATTATTTGGGCCCTTTGATGTTGCCTTTGTGTGCCCTTCCCCATTCTGGTTTTTCAACTATTTATTAGATTCTGTGAATCAAATAGTACTCCAAGGCCGTCTAAATTTTTCTTTTGTGCTTCCGGTGGCTATATTTAGTTTCTTTTGCTTACAAACAGAGGACCTTGATACCAAGAAAAATCTTTGATTTTTTTCTCTTGATTGATTTTTTAAAAAACTAAGTGTTAGGGCTCGCTGTTCATTAAGGCATCATAGAACATGTATACTGATGTGGATGGTTACTTAAACTATACCAATCAATTACCAATCTATACAAAATAGGAACCATGAATAGGGAACTTTTTATTCTAGATTTGCTTGAAGTGGCTTGTAAATACAGGCAACTATCTCTCTGTTTAGCAGGCATGAATGGAGAAGATTCTGACTTTAAAATATGGCTATTTGAGTCAGCCTATGATTTGGTCCCTCAAGAAGAAGTTCAACTTAGTCTCAACTGCTTATGGTATCTGTGAGCAGCTTTAAGTAGTTTCAACTCAAGTACATGAAAAAATGCTCAGCATCATTGATCAGTAGGGAAATGCAAAAAAAAAAAAATTAGATAATTTCATTCCAGTTAAAATGTCTATTATTAAAAGGAACACAAGATAACAAATGTTGGTGAGGATGCAGAGAAAGGGGACTCTGATACACCATTGGTAAGAATGTAAATTAGTATAGCCATTATGGAAAAAAGTATGAAAATTCCTTGAAAAACTAGAAATTGAATTACTATATGATCCAGCAATTCCACCACTGGGTACATATCCAAAAGAAGGGAATCTGTATGATGAAGAGATATCTACATTCTCAAGTTCATTGCAACACTGTTCACAATGGGCAAGATATCGAATCAGCTTAAGTGTCTATTGATGGATGTATGGATAAATAAAATGTAGTATATATGACAACAAAATATTATTCAGTCATAAAAGAATGAAATCATGTCATCTTCAGCAATATGGATAGAACTGAAGGACATGTGTGAAATGAAATAAGTCAGGTAAAGCAAGACCAATATCATATGATCTCATTAATATGTGGAATCTAGAAAGGTTGATCTCATAGGAATAGAAAGTAAAATGGTGGTTACCAGAGGTTGAAATGATTAGAGGAAGATGATGAGAGATATTCATTAAAGGATAAATAATTATAGTTAGAAGGAATAATTTTTGAGAAACCAGTTGCATAGCAAGGTGAATATACTTAATGATAATTTATTGTATTCTTGGAAAATGTGAGGAAAGCAAATATTATATGCTGTCACCAGAAAAATAAATATGTAACATAATGCATTTATTAATTAGCTTGACTGATTCATTCTTGTATGATTTTAAAAAATCTACACATATAATTGTATCTGTCAATTTAAAAAATGCTGAGATTGTTAGGCATGTTTTTTTTTCTAAACTTCATGATGATTTAAACTATTTTACTTTTTCTGACTGATTTAAAAATTTCTTGTCTGATGTTTCCCTTTTGAAATGTTATTTTATTTCTCTATCTTCTTAGGACTATCAATTTCCTCAGCACATTAGAACTTAGCCTTGCAAATAGGACTCACTGCTTAACAAATTACTGATCTTTGATTTAAATGTAATCTGAGATAATAGATTTTCCTATATGAATGCATTTATAAGTTTTGTTAGAGGAACTTAGAGTTTCCCTCAAGGCAGCAATGACATGCTCACCATCATTAGTGGAAAGGTGATTCCTCAAGTCCTCAATTTCCTCATCTTCCAGTTCATAACCCATGTCTTCCAGGATGGGCTTTATTTTAGACACATGGCATGTTCCACCTTATGAAAGAAATAAGTGACAAAAAATAGGAACTGAGAGCAAAGAAAAATACTGGATATATTCATGTACCAATTACAATCATATGAAACAAATTCTCTGCACAACAATAATTAAAAAACCAAACAACTCTTTAAGGCTACAGAGCCTTATTGTGAAAGCTAGGAATACAATACATTCTGTCCACCTTGCTTCAGGGGATGCATTCTATAGTTTGCAGGAAGGAAATATTAAAGTCCCAAAGGTCTTAAAAACAGCATACTACAGGAACACAGCCACATCAATGTTTATAGCAGCACAGTTCATAATAGCTAAACTGTGTAACCAACCTAGATGCCCTTCAATAGATGAATGGGTTAAAAAATGTGGCATATATACACAATGGAATATTACTTAGCAATAAAAGAAAATAAAATCATGGCATTTGCAGGTCAATGGATGGAGTTAGAGAAGATCATGCTAAGTGAAGTTAGCCAATTTCAAAAAACCAAATGCTGGATGTTTTCTCTGATATAAGGAGGCTGATTCACAGTCGGGTTGGGAGAGGGGATCGTGGGAGGAATAGATGAACTCTAGATAGGGCAGAGGGGTGAGAGGGGAAGGGAGGGGCCATGAGGTTAAAAATTATGGTGAAATGTGATGGACGTTATTATCCAGAGTATATGTATGAAGACACAATTTGGTGTGAATATACTTTGTATACAACCAGAGATATGAAAAATTGTGCTCTATATGTGTAGTATCAATTGTAATGCATTCTGTTGTTATATATAAATTAAAAAATTAATAAAAAAGAAGAAAGTTAATTATATGTAATATGTTGTATAAAATTTATTCATATATTAATTATGTTTACTACTTTATATATTATAAATTATATATACATCTTCTAGATGAACCTAGGGAATTATAATAGGCAATAACTAGAGCTCTGGATAGCAAATAGAATTTGAAACTTTTTAATTCCATAGAACAATAAAATATCACATCAGTTTTAGTTGCATCTGAAAGATCTATAGGTTAATGGGATAATAAAACATAATATAATCTTTTTATGATTATAAGAGGTTTTTTAAAAATTTAAAGTAAAGCCTACAGGTTTAAGTTTTATTTGTATTCTTATTGGGATTCTCACTTACCAGGAAACCATTTTAAAATATCGAGCAATTCAGTTCTATATACTCTTCCATTATCTGTAAAATAAGGCACATAAGGATCAAAGAAAAATGATATAGATATAGTAAAAAAAAGAGTATATAAGCATAATTTTAAAATGCAGATAAAAATGTACTACCATAATTTATACTTCTACAGTTCTTATGCCTACACATCTCTTTGTAAACAAATCCAAGTATAAGACAAAGAGAAAATCTTTTGTTTTTAACTTGGTGGTATTGGGGATTGAACTCAGGGTCTCATTGTAGCAAGAGCTATATCACTGAGCTATATCCCAGCTCAGGAGAAAGTTTTAAAAAGTTTTGTTTTTTATTTGTTGTTTTTTAGATTTACATGACAGTAGAGTGTATTTTGACATAATACACATATGTGGAGTACAACCCACTTCAATTAGGATCCCATTCTTGTGGATATATATAATGTGGAGTTACACTAGTCATGTATTCATATATGAACATAGAAAATTATGTCTGAATCATTCTACTGTCTTTTCTTTTCCCACCCCCACTCTCTTCCCTTCATTCCCCTTTGTCTAATCCAGTGAACTCATATTCTTCCCTTCCCTACCCTCCCTGGGTTGGTTATTGTGTTTTAGCATCCAGATATCAGAGAGAACATTTGGCCTTTGTTTTTTAGGACTGGCTTATTTCACTTAGCATGATATTCTCCAGTTCCACTCATTTACCAGCAAATGCTATAACTTTAGCATCCAGATATCAGAGAGAACATTTGGCCTTTGGTTTTTTTAGGACTGGCTTATTTCACTTAGCATGATATTCTCCAGTTCCACTCATTTACCAGCAAATGCTATAACTTTATTCTTCTTTATAGCTCAGCAATTTTCCATTTTTTTTATATATCACATTTTCTTGATCCACTCATCTGTGGAAAGGCACCTAGGCTTGGCTCCATAGCTTGGTTATTGTGAGTTGTGCTGCTATAAACATTGATGTGACTGCATCACTGTAGTATTCTGATTTTAAGTTGATTTGATAAAAACTGAGGAGTGGGATAACTGGGTCAAATGGTGGTTCCATTCCAAGTTTTTTCCTTAAAAATTATTATTATTGCCATAATACTTTACATAGTGGTTGACCAATTTGAAGTCCCACCCAAGGAAAAAATTTTTAATATATATAGATAATATATCTATATATATTAAATATATATATATGATATATATATATCAGATATCCTTCTTTCCTCACTCTGAGTTCTCATTTTTCCATCTGTTTACTACTTGTTTATTCATTCTTCTCTCTTTTTCTTACTTCATGTTTTATTTATATCAGGTAAATGGTACTCTTAATGGCATGACTCAGCCTCCTTAGTAGCTAGAATTACAGGCATGTGCCATTGTACCTGGCTAAGAAATAGCCTCTTAAAATAATGACTTTAAATGTCAAAGGCAAAAAATTAAAAAAGTAAATATCAAAGGCATACTTTTCTTCCAACTAAAGGTTAATATCTTTGTTTTCTAGATTTTTATGGGAAAGGATGGGTCAATTTTTATAACATTCTCACATTGATGTCCACATTAGCACAGATATACATTCCATAGTAGTACATAAAATACCTACCCTTAATTGGCAATATTTTTAGCAGCTCTGCAAATTCCCTATTTGTGAGATTTATCCCAATGTTTCCCAATACTTTTCTTGTGACTTTGGCATCAATTTCTCCTCCTTTTAAAACATAGTAAAGACAAAAGTGAGAATTATCTACTGATTCCAAATGATAAAAAGTATACAGTATTTATAATTTTCAGATAAAAAACACAAGAAATGGAAGTTATTTAAATCTAAATAAAATACTTATTTTCAATAGTCTAATGACCTCAGAGATGTTAACCCATTTCATAGTAAGGGGATATATAGAAGGTCCAGTGATCAAAGTATGTATATGCTATTACCTAATCTAAGTTATAGTACCATTAGGTAAAATTTGTGTGACTCTTGCTATGCCTGAATTATGAAATAGGTTATCCTCAGTGACCACATTGTTTATATTCCTATCAAAGTTTTATGTTAACATTTACTGGGCCACAGTAATGCTAAGTAAGTATGAATAGGTGTGTGTCCTGTGTCATCATGGTGAAAATAATCATAAAATAAAAATGAGGTTTCAGAGTATATATAGAACTTGTTACAGAAATACAGCACTATATTTTGCTAAAACATAAATAATCTAATGTAATCTTCATATCATGAGATCCAAACATTAATCTTTAAAAAAGTTGAAGTTGTCAAAGAAAGGATAAGAAAATTCAGTTTTAAATATGTATGCGAATATGAACCATTTGCATTTTAGTTAGTATCTTTTTACAAAATGTCTTGCTCACCTATGAATTTCTTTATTTCTTTTAGCAGTTCAGGCAGATCAATCTTTCCAGAAGCTAAAATGTAAACCACAATTTAGATAAATACATTTGTGTACTGACACAGAAACTGTTAAAAACAGACTTTTTTCTTTATAATTTGTTTTGAATTATAGTCTAACAGATGAAATTGATATAAGGAAATTTGCTCTCTAAATGTCTTGACTATTAATTTCATTATTCTATCCTCTAAGATCTCAACTCCTTCCTCAGGCTTGTTATCTTTTCATTATCTATTACCAGTTCCCAGAAACAGGATGAAAAATTTTCAGTTGGAGCATAAAGCTATTTCCTCACTGAATGTTGTTCCATACTATCATCCCCCAATTAGCTTAATCTCTTGTATTTTCCCCCCAATAGATATGTTCATTATGTACTCAAAGATTATAAATTATTTTAAATAAAAATAATATATCTACTTATTCTGTATTCAATTCAGACATCCTAAACCAACAACTAGCATCAGCCTTTGCACACAGTATTATTAAATACTTCCTCCCTTGTGATGGCATCACACCTAGGGCCTCACACATACTAGCAAGTGGTCCACCACTAGGCTGCATCTGCAGTCTCTTATTAAGCACTTTAACTGATGGACTGAAAGATATTACAATGGAGAATTAGCTCTCAAATTAGTATATTTTTTCCAGAATTGCTGATTAGTATATTTTAGAGCAAGAAGAAAACTAGAAACTGTGCACATTATTGTTATTTTCTTACAGAAAAGGATATGTTGTTCATTATAACACAACCCCATTCTTCTTTTGGGATAGTTTCTATTATACACACTCCATACAATTAGTTAGCAGGTCTGCACTTTGGTAACTCTTACTACATCCAGAACAATATATTACATAAAATTTTCATGGAGCACAGGAAGAAAATAGGTACAAAATAGTTAAAAGAAGTTAACGGCCCTGGAAGATAGAGGGAGAAGTTTTAACATGTATTTAATCAGAGTTCCAGGAAAAGTAAAACACTACAGGTTAAAGACAACATTAAAAAAGATAATGGCTGAGAATTTTCCACGTGTGATAAAAGATTTCAATTGTCAAATTCAAAAAGCTCAATGAATAATAAGGAAGATAAATGAAAATGAATCCATTCCTATCTTTCACATCACAGTGAAACTTCTGAACTAAAGACAAATGTCCTCAAAGCCACAAAACCAAAAACAATTACTTTTCAAGGACCAATAATAAGATTTATAGCTGATTTCCCATTACTTCTCATCATTAGAAAACATAAGATAGTGGAATGAGATTTTATTTTATTTCATTTATTTTATGTTTTGGTGCTGGGGATTTAACTTAGGGGTGCTTTACCACTGAGCCATATCTCCAGCCCTTTTTATTTTTAAAATTTTGAGGCCTGGTCTCATTAAGTTGCTTAGGGCCTCGATAAGTTGCTGAGGCTGGCCTTGAACTTGTAATCTTCTTGCCTCACCCTCCCAGGTTGCTGGGATTACAGGCATATGCCACTATGCCCTGCAAAATAATATTTTAAATGTACTGAAAGAAGGCAATTGTCTACCTAGAATTGTAGATCTGGAGAAAATAGCTGTAAAGGACAAGAATAAAAAAAGATATTTTTATACCAGAATATAGACACTTAATCAAGGAAATTAGGCAGAAGAAAACTGATCCCAAAGAAAAGGTGAGAGGTGCAAAAAAGAATGAAAAGCAAAAACTAGGTTACATTTGGGTAATTCTGATTGTATGTTGGCTTTAAAAAACATTACAATTACTAATATTTGATAAATTAAAATTAAAGATGTAATAAGAACAACATTAATATAAAGAATGAGAAAAATGGAATTAAAATGATGTTAGGTTCTTCTCTTATCAAGAGGAAATTAATTTGGAGAGGCACAAACCTGTACCTTTATATTGTTCTTTAGCAAGGCTCAACAAGAGAAGTAGAGATTTGAATGACTGAGTTGATCAGCTGTTGAGAGTATCTTAGAGCAGAAATGATGGAGAGAGCAGTCGGACAGAGAAATAACTCAGAAGACAGCTTCTATATTGGAAGATAATGGGAAAATCCAGAGACTAATATTTTTGATGAATTTGGTGGGTATATTTCTTGGGAATAAGAGAACTGGAAGTCTACTTAAAGGAGAAGATAAAATATTGCTATTTAAAAAACTCTTAAGAGAAGGGATGAGGTCAGGAAGAAATAATGTGGTCTTGTACCAAAATATAGTAAGAAGGGATCAGGAAGTTTGAATATCACAAGGTAAAGGAATGTATAATTTGGGGATATGCATTTTGAAAGATATTGAAATGGTGTAAGTAATAGTGTACTTAATTTGAAATTAGCAACCTCTTCTCTTGTCCTCTTTAGTTTCTTTCAAGCATAGAGATATGTGTTTCACTCTATAAAGATACTATGTACCCTGAAATTAAGGAATATACACTAAATCAAAATATACTCTTGAGTTAGGACTGGGTTCTTCCCTGAGATTTTTTAAAGTCATATTAGCCAAAAAAGATCTAGAGCCAAGAAGTTTCATGATAAGCTGTAAGTCTAATTTCCCTAAAAGAGCTATCTAGTAACATCCATTTTGCTCACCACCAACTGGTAGCTTTTGTTGTAAATCTTTAAGTTTCTTATCTGGGAGCTTGATTTTCATGTTTTCCAAAACGTTTTCCAGGTTATTGATGTCAATTCTCCCACCTAAGGAAAGAAACAGAAACACAAAGGAAATTAAATGACTTCCTCAAACAAGAAAACTCTAGTTAATCCCCATGTGTTATGGCTCTAAGCAAAAACGTCAATGAACCAAAATGTTAAAGGGCACAAAAGTGAAAAACATGGAATTTAGGATTGTAGCCCCATGCTTAATTTTAAGGAAAATCCCCAAGTATGAGTTCAGTCTCCAGAGAATCACAATGGAGTATACAAACTGAAAACTTTCTGGTAGATAAATTCTAAAAGCTATTTAGTTCTTTAAATTACTGAAATTCTCTGAACAATTGCCAATTTATTATTTTTTTTTTTGTACTGGGGATTGAACCCAGCGGCACTTAATCACTGAGCCACATCCTCAGCCCTTTTTAATATTTTATTTAGAGAAAGGGTCTCTCAAAGTTGCTTTAGGGCCTCATTAGATTGCTGAAACTGGCTTTGAACTTTCAATCCTCCTGCCTCAGCCTTCCAAGCTGCTGGGATTATAGGCATGTGCCACTGCACCCAGCCTTCCAATTCTATATTTGAAGATAATAGAGTAAGTGTAGAATTAATATGAAAGTTGTTAAGATACACAAGAGATTACACAATAATACAAATGTAAAGCAGAATTTTATCTTTCTTCTTCCTGTGCTTCTTACCTTTGAAAGATTTGACACCATCCAGCAATCTACTTTCATATATATTTCCATCATCTATAAAAAAATAGAGGGCATAATTCCCATCACAGATAAAGTGATGCAGAGATTTATAAAGATAGTACAAAGGTATCATTTCATAAAGATACTTTTAAATGATTTTCCTTAGAAATAAATGATATTTTGGGGCTGGAGTTGTGGCTCAGCAGTAGAGCGCTCACTTAGGATGTGTGCAACCCTAGGTTTGATCCTCAGCACCACATAAAAATAAATAAATAAAGCAAAGATGTTGTGCACAACTAAAAAATAAGTATTTTTAAATATATATATATATATATATGTATTGTTTAGTTATAGTTGGACACAATACCTGTATTTATTTATTTTTAAATGGTGCTGAGGATTGAACCCAGAAGCTCGAAGGTGCTGGGCGAGCACTCTAACGCTGAGCCACAATCCCAGCCCCAAAATAAGTATTTTTTAAAAAAGAAACTGATTTTTGTCCTTTCAAGAATTTAAAACCATGGAACAGAGGAAAATCTCAGAGTACTGTGTTTGACTGAATGGAAATAATTATTTAATTATTGAATAATTTGTGGCAAACGCCATAAAAAAACATGAACACATATTACTTTTCTTCACTGACTTTTCCTTCTTTCTAATCCTTCTATCTTCACTTTCCCCCTTATATCTGTCAGTTAAACTTTTAGTTCTAAGTATGGAACCAAATATAATAATGGAAAATTTTATATGCAATGACAAGATTCAAGAAAATAGATATGCTGATTATTAAATAAAGAACTAAATTACACTTTTCAAAGAAAGAACAAATATATGCTAAAATTTCTTAGTTATCTTTTTTTTTAAAGTAGAATATCCAGTGGGAATAGCTTTTAAAAAGTTATCTTAATACACAAATTGAGCTTCCTCATTCAAATAATAATTGAAATGCTTACCATCAACTTGAAGATTTTTTACCAGTTCCAAGCATTCTTTAGGCGTCAGTTCTATCCCAATGTCATTCAGAATATTTTTCACATCTTTGATATTAACTTTTTCTCCTTCAAAACATAGAAATGGCAAGTATAGTTGACAATATTAAGAGATAGCTAAATATTCAAAAAATGAAACAATATTGTTCATGTTATTATATCACCAACCCCAACTGCTAGATAAAAGACAAAGGCACAATTAGACCCACCAAAGACCTGAACAGACACTTCTCAGAAGAGGATATACAATCAATCAACAAATACACGAAAAAATGCTCACCATCTCTAGTAATCAGAGAAATGCAAATTAAACAAAATTGACAAACCTTTTTTATGAAAAAAGAGAAAGTAAAAATACACAAAATGAGAAATGAGAAAGGAGACATTATAAGTGATACCACAGAAATACAATCCTCATGAGAGACAATTATGAACAATTACATTCCCATAAATCAGATAACCTAGAAGAAATGAATAAATTCCTAGAAACATAGTACCCACCAAAATTGAATCATGAAGATATGGAAGTTATGAACACATGAATAATGAGTAAGAAGTTTGAATCAGTAATAAAAAGATTCTCATCAAAGAAAAGTCCAAGACCTTATGGCTCAGTGCTAAATTTTACCAAACATTAAAAAAAAAAAGAATTAATATCAATCCTTCTTAAATCCTTCCAAAAAACTGAAGAGAAAGGAATACTTCTTGAATTTGTTATGGGGACAGAATTACCCTGATACAAAAGCAAAACAAAAACCACAAAAATCAAACAAACAGAAAACCCCCAAAAGACAAATTCTCCAATGAACATGGATGCAGAAATCTTCAACTGAATATTAGCAAATTGAATTCAACAGTACATTAACCATGATGTACTGTTGAATCATGATCAAGTGGGGTTAATTCTTGGGATACAAAAATGATGTGACAGATCATATAAACAAAATGAATGACAAAAACCACAGGATTGTCTCAATAGATATAGAAAAAGTACTTGATAAAACTCGACATCTTGTCATGATGAAAACACTCACTCAGTAAATTAAGTATAGAAGGAAGGTACCTCAACACAATAAAGGCCATATACATCAAATCCACAGTTAAGATCATACTCAATAGTGAAAAGTTGTAAGATTTTCTTGTAAGTTCAAGAACAAGACAAGTATACCCACTCTTGCCACTTCTATTCAGTGTAGGACTGGAACTCCTTGCCAGATGAATTAGGCAAAAAAAAAAAAAAAAGAACTAAAATTATCCAAAATAGAAAAGAAGCAGTTACATTGTGTTTGCTGATGACATCATATTATATATAGAAAACTCCAAGGTTTCCACCAAAAAACAAAATTAATAAACAAATTCGGTAAAACTGCATGATATAAAATCAGCATAGAAAATATAGTTTTTCTATATACTAACAAGAAACTATCTGGAAAAGAAATTAAGAAAATAATTCCACTTACAATAGCATAAAAATTAAAGTCAAAAGCAAATTTAACAAAGGGAGTGAAAGATATATATAATAAAAATTATAAAACATTAATGAAAGAAAGTGAAGACATGGAAATATATATTGTGTTCATGAGTTGGAAGAATTAATATTGTTAAAATGCCCAAACTGCCAAAAATGACCTATAAATTCAATGCAATTCCCATCAAATATCAAATGCTGTTTTTCAAAGAAATAAAAAGAATTTCCAAAATATGTATGGATCTACCGAAGACATCAAATACTCAGGGCAATCCTGAGACAAAAGAACAAAGCTAGAGACATTGCATTACCTGATTTATGAACTAGCCAAATGTACTGTATTCATTTTATTGTTAAACATGCCTACACTTTAGGCAGAATTTTCAATTTACTATAAAAATATGTAAATTAACACACAGGAAAAAGGGAAATATTAGTTGAAATATGACATTGTTTTCTTTTGAAGATACATATGTATTGAGCGATATGATTTATGTCAGAAATTGAGATAAGTTCCTTTTTTTGGTACTGATAATTAAACACAGGGGTGCTTAATCACCGAGCCACATTTCTAACCCTTTTTTATACTTTATTTTGAGATGGGATCTCAGTTATTTAGAGCCTCACTAAGTTACTGAGGCTGACTTCGAATTTGTGATCATACTGCCTCTGCTTCCCAAGCTTCTAGGATTACAGGTGTGTGCTGTTGCACCTGACAACATAAGTTCTTGAATAAGTACCAAAATTGAATGAATTTTTAACAGAAAATGTAATTAAAATCTTAGGTTCAGATGTTATTTAGATCAAGAAATAAGTGTTTTAGTATCTATTTGTCATTTTTTTCTTTTTGATCCAAATGTTTGATCTGCCCTGGTAAAGAAAAAGTTATATTTAAAAAGGAAAGAAAAAAATGAATAAGAGAAAACTCATGGCATGATATAAAATAAGCATGTTTTGTCATTAGTAAATAGGTCATGCATGCCTGGTGAATATTCACTGGAAAAAAATAGAAATTGTAATTTGTAAATAAGTGTAGCAATAAAAGAATTTACATAACGGGTTACAAAAGACCAGGAAAGTAACTGAGTACCCTGGAGTTCTTTATTCAGATCAAACTGATTAATACCTGCTAGCATTCATTGCTATCTTCCTAAATTCTTAAAATTCTTTTTTTTCGTTTTGATACGATGCCAGGATACACCTTGACATAATCACAAGAGCATGGAACACTTGGATTCAGTCCCCAGCACTTCCTCCCTACCTCCTGCTCCTCTCCCTCTACTTTATTGATTCCTCTTCAATGCATTTACAATTTACTTTTTTTTTTTTTAAATTAGTGTCCTGTGGGTCCTGATGACAGGGCCCACCCTCCATGAACACACATACAAAAGTTCAGTCAGATTCACTTCACTGTTCTTCCCCTTTCCTGTCCTTTTTCCTCCTCAGTCTCCTTCATCTAGTAGCACAATTTACAATAGCTAAGCTGTGGAACCAATCTAGGTACCCTTCAAAGGATGAATGGGTAAAGAAAGTCTTTCACACATCTAGTCAGTTGCACTGAAATACAATTGTTTTATTTTAATGCAGCACTGCCAATAAAAATATAACATAAAAAGAAAATGTGGTGTAAATACAAAGGAGTAATACTCATCCATAAAGAATGACATTATGATATTTGTTGGTAAATGAGTGGAAATGGAGACTATCATGCTAAGTGAAATAAGCCAATCTTCCCAAATCAAAGGTCAAATGTTTTCTCTGATATGTAGAAGTTAATCCAAAATAAGGTTGGGGGGGGGGAGGAAAAACAAGAGAGAAACAGCAAGAAAGGAACTGAAAAAAGACGGGAGAGGGAATTTCATCAAAATAGAGGAAAGACAATGGAAGGGTAACTGATGTGATACAGCAATCTGTATACGGGGTAAAGTTGGGAGTTCATAACCCACTTGAATCAAACTGTGAAAGATGATGTATTAAGAACTGTGTAATGTTTTGAACGACCAACAATAAAAAAAAATAGAGGAAAGATCACTTCTATTTTAAAGTGAAAGAACTCTGTTGGTGAGTGTCAGGTGAGCAGTCATTTAAAAATCTAAATGCTTCAGGATTCTTGTGGGTTGGTAGGAAAAGTGGGGCAATATGAGGTACAGGTGAAAAATCAACTACAATTTCTATGGAATATTTACTCTTATTTTACTTGGTGCTAAATCAAATGAACATGGCCTATACAGCTTTCATTAGCAGCCTTTGAAAATTTGACCTGTTTTATTCCAGGAACTTAAAATACAAATGAAGTGATTCTTATCTTGCAAATGTGAACTAGGGATTGTTTATATTTAAATTATAATAATTGCATATAGAGGGATATTTTAAAATCTGAAACAATGTCAATATACATATTTAGGAGATTGGATGAATAAATTATGGTATATTTGAATAACAGAATTTTTTTTTTGGTACCAGGGATTGAACCCAGGGGCACTTAACCACTGAGCCACATCCCCATTCCTTTTTTTATGTTTTGAGAAAGAGTCTTACTAAGTTGCTTAAGACCTCACTAAGTTGCTGAGGTTGGCTTTGAACTTGCGATCCTCCTGCCTCAGCCTCCTGAGTGGCTGGGATTACAGGTGTGCACCACATACAGAACTATCAGAGTGTTTATGTAGCACTGAAAAGGAATAAGCAACAACAAACTATAAAATCATATAATTATAATTATTTTAAATCATATAATTGTTTTAAATCATATAATTATCTTAAAAAACATGTTATAGAAGACTACACATTATTTATGATAGTATTTTTATGCAGTCAAATCAAACAAAATGAAAGAGTGTTATTGATTGATGAAAGACTATTATTATCACATGGACAATAAAAATTTTATTTCTCAAAAGGAGAATAAACAACATAAAATTCAGGGTAATATTATCTCAAAGAGTGGTGATAGGGTGATGGGATATAAGGATGTAAGCATCTGTGGATTAATGCAATAATGATACAAGAAATATTCTAGTTATGTTTTTTGATTGGGGGAGTCATATGTTTTATTGTTCATGAGTGCTATGGTAATGAATTTATGGATTAACTAGAAAGACAATACAGGAAATTATTATTAAAGAATTAGGATTTTTAACTTGCCTATATCTGCATTCACATCATCCATCACCTTTTTAAAAGGAACACTTCCATCAGCTGTAATACAAAGCATAAACAATTTAGATAATGACACAGAAAAAAAAATTTAAACTAGGGTTCAAATGAAAAGCCATATATATATAACTAAATTATTTATATTTACTTTAAATCTGGATTACTAAGACGGGACCAAGTCCCTTAAACAAAGTTTTTGACTACGGCAAATGTACTGTGTCTCCATATGTCTCCAGTTCTTGGGTCTTCTTATAAGTATGGTAAAAGATGGAATTCATAGAGACAGGCTTTTCTTTTTTTTGGTGAACCTTACAACTAACAAAGATACTGAGCCAGAGTTTTCATATCCTCCATCTGTTCCCAATATGCTTTTCTTTAATGTTTCCAATGTCTTTTATTTGTCTCAAATGGTAGTGATGGGGCTGGAGATACAGCTCAGTTGGTAGAGTGTTTGCCTCTTATGCACAATCCCCAGCACCACACACACACACACACACACACACACACACACACACACACACTCACATTCATGCACAAAAACGGTAGTAACATGTAGTTGTTTGATACATTAGGAAATATCAATGACATTCCACTACTTCCTATTGTGGATATTTCTCTCTCAATTATTTCTAAATGTCTTTGCTTTTTATTTATTCATTTTGCCCTGCTCCCATATTTGTTTCTCCTACTATTCTCTGGCTTGATAATAATTATGAATGTTCTCTCAACATTGCTCATAGATGAGTAGGATGATAACTTAAGATGAATAAAAAAGACAAAATTCAGGATTTATTTACTTTCAGGCTCAGTTCCTCTCCATTTAAAATTTCTTACAGGGGCTGGGATGTGGCTCAAGCGGTAGCGCACTCGCCTGGCATGCGTGCGGCCCGGGTTCTATCCTCCAGCACCACATACCAACAAAGATGTTGTGTCCGCCAATAACAAATAAATAAATAAATAAATAAATATTAAAAATTTCTTACACTACTCATATCAAACTAATTTTAGAAATTCTTACATATGATCTAAAGATTCTAAGCACTCCCCTAAAAGGAAAAATATTTACAATGCTCACCAGCAATAGACTGATTTTGTATCACCTTTTTAATTTCCTTGTTTTTGAGCTTCATGCCCATTTTCCCTAGAATTGTATTCAAGTTTTTGACATCAACCTTTCCTCCTTAAGAAAGAGATATAAATGTGAGAAAAACCCAATCAAGACACAATGTGAAAAATAATTCTCATGCTAAGTTAAATTAACTTAAATAGTTCTAGCTGCTACTGAGAGTTATCTGGAACTATATAATTGGTTAAGTGGTTTAGCAATTAACTCATGCTTCTTTAAAATGTTCATAACTCAGCCCACTAATTGCACTATTTAGATATAGAGGTTATTCTAAAGTGGAAAGGTTAAGTCTTTAGTTTAGTCTTCTTTAAAGGAAAGAAAAAAGACCTCCCCACCAGAAGTTAAATAGCCAATGAGAAGGTATTATTAGGTAAATGAATGCATTTTTATTTTTAATTTTTTAATTTTTATTTTTTTATTATTTTTTTGGTGTGTGTTTTCTTTTTTTTTATTGTTGGTCGTTCAAAACATTACATCTTTCTTGATATATCATATTTCACAATTTGATTCAAAAGGGTTATGAACTTCCATTTTGAATGCATTTTTATTCCACAGAAAATTGCACAGTGATAGCCATTAAAAAGATGGTTACCTACATGCAGAACTGCTTTTTAAAGGGGTGGAGATATCATAGGATCATTTAATTTACATGAGTTAAAATAATTTACCTAGTAAAAACAGGCATAAAATGAATGATGCAAACAATGTCTGTTATTCACCCTGCCATTTCACAGACAGCAAGCATAGTAGAGTGAATTTCAGATAGACATCAATTTATTACTCCATTGGACAGACTAATTCTTGCTAGGCCTACCATACTGTGAGCATCTCAACTTACTTTGATTTTAGTATAAGATATGCTTATATATCATGACTCTTATTCAAGCCAACTATTTCATCTAAATGCTCAACTATAGGCATAAAAATCTGTTGCAACACTGGAGGAAAAATGTCTATGTTAGACTTATCAAAACTAGTATGTTGATGTCTTTTATGTCAACTTCCAATGAGATTTCAGAAAAATTTTGACTACATGGGAGTTTTGATATTTTAATTATATAAGGCTTCAACATATTGATATGATAGTAGGACTATGAGTGTTTTTTAATTAGACATTTAATGTGCATATGACACCTTTTATATTGAAAACAATAAAACTAACAAATCACAGCTGTTTAGTATAGAGGTGAAGAGCCTGGGTTTAAATTTTGAGCATTATGATAGTTATTTTCAGCCCTATGAAGGCCAAAACTTTAATGAATTCTATCTAAGAATACTCAGAGGGACATCTGTGGAGATATTTAGGACTTGTTTCTTTGAGCCTTACCCTTAGATCAAACTTAAACAGCACATACACACAAAAGTATATAAACTCAGTATTTAACCAATACATACAAGAGCTGGCAGAGTAATCATGATTTAATAACTAGGAAAAAAGACCCACATGAAGATTGATAATCTTAATCCTATACACTTTCTCCTAACATTTATTACCTACCTTTGAAAGACTTCAAACCTGTTAGCAGTCTATTCTGAAAAACTTTCTTATCATCTGTAAGAAAAGGTACAGTTCAGGACAGAGAATGTCTCTCAGAATATTAAGGATCAGACTTTCCTTTGTGTGACTGACTTTAGGAAACTGATCCTCTTTACCTTCAAATCATAATAAAATTAAACAACAGATTCTCATGGTATAGAGAGGCTGTTTGGTATAGAGGTCAAGAGCCCTGGGTGTAAATTCTTGCTCTACTATTAATTGGCTTTGTGGTCTTAAGCAAATACATGCTTCTGGTTTCTTCTAGAATAAAATAAGGATAATGTATCATCACTGTGTGTGGTCAGAATGGCACTTATATATCATTGGGTGTAACTAAATGCTAGATGTTATTATTAATAGATCTACTTGTTTCTTGGCACCCAAGCAACTGTTGTTTCATATACTATAGAGCTGAAGCCCCAAACTTCATCTTTTTCTTTCCTATTTTTGACTCCTCTTCATGTCTTATTTCTACCATATTTTTATTCTATTTCTTTTACCTTATCTTACTCCTAAAGTTGACAAGCTCATAACCTAATAGGCAGCAGCAAGGATTTTCTTAGTACTAGGTGGCAAAGCTAATGCCTGAAGATTTTGCTTTGAATTAAAATTTTCCTTATTTTTATCCCTTCTGAACTGGGATAAAAATAAGGAAAAATTTAATTTCTTAGCAAGTCATTCAAGAATTACTTGAAGAGGTAGTTAGGCCTTTGCTGAGAGGATGCTTTTTAAAACTGACTTTGTGAAGATGTTGAGATTTTGTGTTTAAAGGAAGCAAGAAACAATATTCATAAGAGAAAGGGGAGAGAAATTTGGCATCCTTCCAGAAATTGAGAATAGAGGTGAGTTTTCAGTGCTTACCTCTGGGATGGATAAAAGTTACAAAAAGAGAATCCTCAATGATAATATGTGGAAAAGTAACTCTGAGAGAGGACAGGAATTTCTCATGAGGACTTTTGCAATGTTTACTGAGAGATTTAAAAAACTACATCCCTCTCTTTCCTCTCCCTTGCCAAATCATCATAACATCTTTTCTCCTCAACAATGATTTTGTGGAAGAGGATTCTTTGGGTTATTGAATTCTGTTCCTGAGTTGACACAGAGCAATGGAAAGACTGTACAAGAGAAAAGAAGAGCTGAAGATTGTGCCGGAAATATCTAACCATACAACACTGTTTGTTTATAAATTTCAAAAGTAAAACCATTAAATTAAACTTTCTAGAGGTCACAGTAATATATATATAGCTCACCATCAGTTGGTAGTGTTTCTAGCAGTTCCACACATTCCTTATCATTGACTTTTATCCCCATGTCTCTAAGAACATTTTTCATATCACTGGCATTAATCTTTTCTCCTTTGAAAAGACAGTAATTATGGGTGAAAAACATAAAATTTAATAATTCAATATTTAAAATATGTTAAGAGCACATTATTAACCTATATGAGCTATGACGATATGTTTTTAAATACAGTAATTAATATGGCCTTATTCTCAATTTGGGGTTAAAGAGCAAAAGCAAAATGGGACATGCAAATACAATGTGTCAACAGAAGTAAAAGCAAACCTGCTCCTATACTATTAATATAACAAAGGCTGTCTCAACGCTGGGGATAATGTGCAGAATGAAATCTAATTAATGAAGTATAGAAATACTTCTTTTGGTGATAATTATACTAATTTATATAACTGATCATTCACAAAAATTATCTTGTTTTCCGAAATTTTACTGAACTTACTAATGCACATATCTCAAATTTAATTATTTACATGTAGACAGAGATATTTATAAATGACTAAACCCTGTGGTTTATTAATACACAGATTATCCAAGATCAAATAAACTTTACCAGGCAGAAATACTGTATAATAACTGGATAAAATGGCTTAATTAATATAAAAATAGATTTGGAAAATAAAATCTAAAATAAAATTTATGACAGAGCATTAGGACATCAGTGTGACAGAAACTTACCTGTAAAGTCACTTATTCTGGTCATCGCATGTTTCAGATCAATCTTTCCATCAACTGTAAAAAACAGCAGTCACAGACCAACAGGGTGAGACTGTTCTACTTTCTCCACTGAGGACACTATCCCTCAACTAGGATGTTGAGATCACTTCACTTTTAGTTCTAGACTACTACACCACATTATTTTATGACAGATATTAGTTAGATATGAGAATACATTATTTTATGTTATTTTTTTAAATATATTTTTTTAGTTGCCAATGGATCTTTTATTTTATTTATCTATTTATATGTGGTGCCGAGGATCCAACCCAGAGCCTCACACATGCCAGGCAAGTGCTTTACCAATGAGCCACAACCCCAACCCCTTTTCTTTTCTCTATTTCATGTATTCTGCTACTTTCTTGCGTATTTCTTTTTCTTCTTATTAGAATATACATTCTAGTAATTTGATTTTAAAAAGTCTGTGGCTAATAAAGTGTTCTTGTATGTCTGCAATTACCTATTTTACTCTTATCCTTGAAGGTTAGATGTTCAAAGTTATTTTTCTCTAGCACTTTCAAGATAGTATCTTTTTATTTCTTTGTGAATTCAGTGTTGCTAATGAATCAGTATCTTTTATTTTATGTGTAGTATGTTTTTTTCCCTCCTTTTAATTATGTATAATTTTCTCTTTGTTTTTAAGAGAAATTTTATAAGAACATTTAGGCACAGGTTGATAATAATTTTCATCCTGCTTAACACTTAGTGGTCTCTTAAAATCTAGGACTATAGGAAACAAAGAGGAGAAATGAAATGATAATAAATGAGTAATTCTAGAGGAATTTGTTTGCATAAAACAAAACAAATATAAATGGGGAAGGAGACAAATGGAATTAAAGGTGATCTAAGAATCTTGCATTGTCTTAGATGAGAATTAAAGTCCAGTATAACAGTGGATTATGATAAATTAAGAATGCATTTTAAAGTTTCTAAACTAACAGAGAAAAATAATAAAAATAATTAATATAAAAGGCAAGCAGAACAGAAAAAAATTGAACAGGTGATAAAAGTAGGGGCATTGAACAAAAGTAGATTTAAAAACAAAACAAAAATGTCATTAATTTCATTGTTACTATTAATAATGCAATAATGTAAATGATAGATTCAGACTGCTAATATTTATTCCTGAGTTTTGCATATTTGTTTATGAGAGAAATTAGCCTGTAATTATTCTTTTCTGTGCTATGTTTATCAAGTTTTAGGCTAATGTCATAAATCAATCTAGGAAATGTTTCTTCTTTTTCTGTTCTTTGAATAATTGCATAAGATGGGCATTATTTCTTATTTAAATATTAAATAAAATTTATGAAGAAGTGATATAGGTCTCTAAATTTTTAAATTTTTTAAAATTTTATAATTTTTTTAGTTGTAGATAGACATTGTATCTTTATTTATTTTTATATGGTGTTGAAGATTCAACCCAATGCCACAGATGTAGAAGGCCACTGAGCGCAGCCCCAGCACCCAGGTCTCTAAAATTTAAGAATATAAAGTATCTGATATATATAAAGATTTAGAGAGATTAAAAGTAAAAGGACTAAGAAATATATACTACACAAACTAAGCAAAAGTATCATAGTTAAATTAATTTAAAATAAAATAGGCTTTAATAAATAAAAGCATTTTAGAGATAACACAAAGAAGTTTAATTCACCAGGAAGTGTAACAATTCTAAACTTATATGCAACTATCTATACTTGATTTCAAAATAACCATAAATAAATTTCTAAAATCACAATTAGAAATACAAAAACCAGGCTGGGGTTGTGACTCAGTGGCAGAGCGCTTGCCTAGCACGTGTGAGGCACTGGGTTTGATTCTCAGCACCACATATAAATAAATAAATAAATAAATAAATAAATAAAAAGTCCATTGGTAACTAAAAAAAATTAAAAAAAAAAGAAATCCAAAATCCAAAATTATCAACGGGAGATTTTAATACATCTGTTAGTAAAACAGAGAAAAATTATTCAGGTTATAGGAAATTTGAACAGCAAATTAAATAAACTTGATTACTAACTATATATATATGCAAATTTTTTCAAGAATATAGGGAATAATAATAGAAAGTGACCATATATTTATTAGATTTAGGCCAAATATCAATAAATATTAAAAGAATAGCAATAAGCCATCAAAAATTATATTTAAACAGTTCCACTTACAATAAATAGCATCAAAAAATAATTCATCTAAGAATAAATTTAACAAAAGTAGTACTAAATTCATACCACTAAAATTACAAAAATAAAAAACCAATGTGGAAAGAAATCAAATAATACCTAAATAAGTACAAAGAGATTCCATGATCATAAATTAAAATATTCAGTATTAGCTAAATCATAATCCTTACCTCCCACTCCCAAATTGTTTTAGAAATTTAAGACAATCCCTATCAAAATCCCTGCTGGCATTTTTATCAAATTTGAAGCGCTAATCGTAAAATTCATATGGAAAAGCAAAGTAAACCTAATAGCTAAAAATATCTTGAATAAAAAACAAGACAGGATGATTTGTACTCTCCATTTGAAACTTATAACAAAGCTACAGTAATCAAGACATTGGGGTAATATAAGGCTAGACATAGATAAATAGAAATGAATTGGGAATCCAGAAATAAGTTCTTACATTTACTATCAATTGATTTTAACTTTTTATTTTAATTCACACATAATAATTATAAATATTTATGGGGTATAGTGTGACATTTCACATGTATACAATGTATAATCAGATGAGGGTAATTGGTATGTCCATTACCACTATACATACTATATCTTTGTGTTGGGAACATTCCAATTCCTATTAGCTATTTTGAAATATTCAATTAAATGTTGTCAATCATAGTTAGCCTACTTTGCTATTGAGCATTAAAATGTATTACTCCTGTTCAACTGTACCCACATATCCACTAACTATCCTCTCTCCATACTCTCTCCTCAACTCTTCTCAGCCTTTGATAATCACTATTCTATTCTCTCAACTCCCACAAGATCAGTATATAAATGGGAACATGAGACATCTGTCTTTCATTGCCCCACTGATTTAACATAAGTCTTCTATAATTTCATCTTATTACCACAAATGACAGGATTTCATTCTTTTTTTAATGGCTGAATACTCTGTGGTATGTATAGCACATTTTATTTATCCATTTATATGTTGATGGGTGCCCAGACTGATTATATATCCAGGTTTATTGTAAATAGTGCAATGAACATGAATGTGAATGTACCTCTTTGACATATTGATTTTCTTTTCTTTGGACATGTACTCAGTAGTGGAATTGATGGATCATATCATAGTTCTATTTTTTCTTTCTCTTTTTTTTTTTTGGCAGGACCTCTATGCCTTTTTTCCATATGAATGTAATTTAAATCCTCACCAGTGGTGTGTGAGAGTTCTCTGTTTTTTGCATTCCCATAAGTGTTTGCTATTTTTTAAAACTTTTTGATGTTTTATTTTTGTCTAATTAGAGTGAAATGATATCTCATTGTGGTTTTGTTTTGCTTTTATGCCAGGATTGAATTCAGGGGCACTCAACCACTAAGCCACATGTCTAGCCCTTTTTTTATATAGAGACAGGGTCTCACTGAATTTCTTAGTGCCTCACTAAGTTGCTGAGGCTGGTTTTGAACTTTTGATCCTCCTGCCTCAGCCTCCTGAGCTGCAAGGATTATAGGCATAAGCCATTGTGCAAGGCTCTCATTGTGGTTTTGATCTGCATTTCCCTGATGATTAATAATGTTGAGCACTTGTTGCCCTTAATATATCATCTTTTGAGAAATGTCTACTCAGGTAATTTGCCCAGAGGGAAACAATACCCACCACACATAATCTGGGGCAGTGGCAACTGGAGCCCAAGTGAATCATCCTAGTCCCTGTACTACCGCAACCCAGAGAACAGTGTTGGTTAGGGGAATACTTCTGCATCACAGAACTTTCACAGAAAACCCATAACCAGAATTATTGAGCTCCCAGGTAACCACTAGGATCATCACCGTTGCAAAAAAGGATCCTGTAGAAGGAAGCAGGTACATGGTGACTCACAAAAATCACAGGGACACTCCAGAACCTGCATCCTGAACTTTTCTGCAAACAATAGAAACAACCAAGCCATGAAACTGCAATCTCTCACTAAAATTAGGCTCCACAGCCCAATATCAGCCTTGAGTTGACAAACCAGAACCAGCTAGTGGGACCTTCATAGCAACTAGGGAATTGGCTCCTGTGTTCCTGCAACTCTGGAGAGACCCATAGCAAAACAATGAAAAACATCTGCTAAAGGTTCAAACCCCAATGAAATATAAACCAAGATTCAATAAGAATTTTTTTCACATTTTCATGGTTTACTATAAATAACTCTAATGTCAACTTTGATCATATAAATAACTCTTTAACTTGAATGATAATTGTTACCCCAATAGCCAACATTGTACCTTCAACCCATTTTAATGTATTTCATCCAATGGTTTAAAGCATTAATTTGAACCAATTTTCCTATCTTTGTTTTCCTAGCTCTAATTTATATTTGCTCCTCTTATGCCCTATTCATCCTCTTGCATTATCTGCTACTACCTCTAAGAGCCACCATCAATCTATTTCTCCTGTCTACCTTAGTATAAATTGTTATTTTATATCATTTCCACCTCTCTTTTTCTCTTTCCTCTCCTTTTTGCCCAATCTTTCTTCCACCTCTGTTTTAGCTGTTATTTAAGGTTATAGTAAGTTTACTAAATTTAACAAGTAAGTTTTGGACCCATACCAGAACTTTATTACAAGTTTATACTTGAATTTGAGGAATAGTGGAGAATAATAAGTTTTAGTTTCTTATAAGGTTGAATAGAATGAAGCTTAGCTCTGAAGTGTTTATAGCAAATAGGAGTCAGTGGCATCTCTTATTAAAGTGGTGCTGATATTGGGATCAGCAGAGGTCAAACACTGACCTAAAATATCAATATCTGGACATTTGTTCAACCCAGGGCTTCTAAGAGAAACAAGTAGTCCCTTGCTTAAAAGAAATGAGAACTATACCAATAGATAGGTAGACATACAAACAATATAAAAAAACCAAGGGAGCAAACCACATTGCAAACAGCCCATGATGCTTTTCAACAACTGACTCCATTGACACTACAGAGGAGGAAATGTCAGAGAAAGAATTTAGAAAGTTCATAGTTAAAATATTTTCTGAGATAAGACCATGGCCCAGAGTTCCAGAGGGAAAGCTGCCCCCCACCCCATCCACATGGTGAGCCACCCCACACTGGGGTTCCTTATTCACCAAAGCGAGGCTCCACAGCCCAATATCAGGGTGTACATAGGCTTGAGGCTGCCATGGACATGAAACTGGGATAGCACCACTTCTATCAAGAGACAACAATGAGGACCTAGTAAGACATCACCAAGGTCCCTGTGGGCCTGGCTGCACCAAATGTCTCTCTACTAGGATGCTAACAGTTATCATCCTGTTGCTGAGGTAAGAGGGAGTCTTGCATGGGATTGCCTATCTCTTATTTCTCCTACTAACAGCCAACTTCTTATGATTACACTCTCACTAGTCATATAATCTAATACCTCCATATTCTCACATCCTACTTCAAAACATCTCAGTCATCCCTCCAGTCTCTCCTTCCACCATCAGAAACTGTAAACCATTACACAACTAGGTAATGGTAGAAGATATGATAGAATATAAAGGAACTCATCATTTCTGATTATAGTGGCAAAACTGTAAATGTAAAAATAGAAGCTAACTGATGTATGGCTGCACGCTGGGTACATTGAGTGCTGTAATATTGATGTCTCGCTTAAAAGTGAGGTATTGGTAACCTGTAGGGATACTATAAGACAATAGGGCAGAAACTGTAATACCTCAGATCTACATTACAAGAGAAAAAGACATAGATATCATGAAAAAACAAGGGAGCAAAGTGCCCCAAACAAACCAAGACACTACAACAATGGAATCCATAGATAGCATAGTAGGTGAAATGTCAGAGAAGGAGTTCAGAATATACATAACTAAAATGATTTGGGAATTAAAGAATGACCTAAGTGAGCAGATACAGGCAAAAATTGATCATTCCAACAAAGAGATAGGAGAACAAACTTAGGTGACCATCAATCACACCCAAAAAGAGATAAGAGAGCAAATACAGGTTGCAAGGGATTACTTCAAGAAAGAGATGGAGATACTGAAACCAAACAAACAAACACAACAACAACAACAAAACCAGAAATCCTCGAAATGAAAGAAATAATAAGCTAATTAAAAAACTCAACAGATAATATTACTAACAGACTAGGTCACTTGGAAGACAGGACCTCAGACAATGAAGACAAAATATACAATCTTGAAAATAAAGTATACCTCACAGTGAAGAAGGTAAGAAACCATGAACAGAATATAGAATCATGGGATACCATCAAAAGACCAAATTTAAGATTTATTGGGATGAAGAAGGTTCAGAGATTCAAACCAAAGGAATGCACAATCTCTTCAATGAAATAATATCAGAAAACTTCCCAAGCATAAAGAATGAATTGGAAAATCAAATACAAGAGGCCTATAGGACACCAAATGTACAAAATTACAACAGATCTACACCAAGACACATTATAATGAAAATGCCTAGCACACAGAATAAGGATAGAATTTTAAAGGCCACAAGAGAGAAAATCAGATTACCTATAAGGGAAGACAAATTCAGATCTCAGCAGATTTTTTCAACCCGCTCTTAAAGCCAGGAGATCCTGGAGAAGCAGCTCTAAAAGATAATGGATGCCAACCAAGAATCTTATATCCAGAAAAATTAAGCTTCAAATTTAATGATGAAATAAATGTTGCCTGAGTTTGTTCTCCTATCTCTTTGTTGGAGTGATCAATTTTTGCAAGGTTTTTATTTCATGCCCAAAAGCTAAAAGAGTTTACAGCAAGAAAAGCTGCACTACCAAACATTCTTGGCAAAATATTCCACGAGGAGGAAATGAAAAACAACAATGAAAATCTGCAAAGGGAAGAACCACAATAAAGGAAAAGCCAACCAAAGGAGAAACCAAGTCAAGTTAATTACCAAAAATAAACAAAAATGACCTGTAATATAAATCATGTCTCAATAATAACCCTAAATGTTAATAGCCCAAACTGACCAATCAAAAGACATAGTTTGGTAGATTGGTTAAAAAAAGACCCAACAATATGCTGTCTGCAAGAGACTCATCTCATAGGAAAAGACGTCCACAGACTGAAGGTGAAAGGTTGGAATAAAATATACCATTCACATGGTCTACATAAGCAAGCAGGGATTTCCATCCTCATTTCAAGCCAAAGATATTGAAAAAGGATAAAGATGGACATTTTATACTGCTTAAAGGAAACATACATCAACAAGACATAATAGTTTTATGCCCCAAACAATGGAACATCTACGTTCATCAATCAAACTCTTCTCAAGTTCAAGAGTCAAATTGACCACAACACAATAATTCTGGGTGACTTTAACACACCTCTTTCATAACTGGATAGATCTTCCAAACAAAAGCTAAACAAAGAAACTATAAAACTCAATAATACAATCAATAACTGAGACTTAACTGACATATATAGAGTATATTATCTATCAACGAGCGAATACACTTTCTTCTCAGCAACACATGGATCCTTCTCTAAAATAGACCATATCTTATGCCACAAAGGAAATCTTACTAAATACAAAAAAGTAGAGATATACCTTGTATTCTATCAGACCACAATGGAATAAAATTAGAAATCAATGACAAAATAACAAATAAAAGTTACTCCAACATCTGGAGACTGGACTTGGATTAATAAAGAGATGGGTTGTGTTTTTAAAGATTATTTTAGTTGTAGATGGACATAGTACTTTATTTTATTTATTTTTATGTGGTGCTGAGGATTGAACCTATTGCCTCACACATGCTAGGCAAGTGCTTTACCACTAAGCTAAAACCACAGCCCCAGATGTGTTTGTTTTTATTTGAATTTTACTACAAGCTATTCAGATTGTTCTATTGATATCAAGTAAACATCATCATTGTTCTATGGATGCTATCAAACCTCAGCTATCAAAAAAGGAATATATTTAATTCAAAATGCTCACCATCAACTGGTAGGTTTTTTGAAAAATCTTCAAATTCTTTATGTGACAGCTCAACCCCAATATTTTCCAGAAATGCTTTTAGGTTATCTACATCAACTTTTCCTCCTTTAAAGAGAAGAAGTATCATTAAAAAGGACATCAAATGTGAAAAAATTTATTTAATTCATGTATGCTTGGGTTATCACTTTAATCATGAAGATATAAGATCCAAGGATACCTAGTTGAGGGTACATAGATAGTTAACATTAAAATTAGATGTAGAGCTTGGCAAGATGTGGCACACTTGTAATCCCAGTGGTTTGGGAGGCTAAGTTAGGAGGATCATGAGATCAAAGCCAGCCTCAGCAACTTTGCAAGGCCCTATGCAACTTAGCAAGACCCTATCTCTAAAAAATATACCAAGACTGGGATATGGCTCAGTGATTAAGCACTCTGGGTTCAATCCCTGTTACCAAAAACAAAAGCAAAACATAACAAAAGAATTAGATATAGAATGTCATTCTCTGACCATGACTTTTGTTTATATCAAACATACTGTAAATTTCAAAGGGGGTTGGGTAATTTTCCAAGCAACTATGCTATAATATACTTAGCATATCTATAAGTGTTGGGAAAATATATGTATGAGATTTTTAATTTAATAAAAATGAATTCATACAAGTAAAAAAATAGGAGAAAACCTCATACTTATCTGCTTTCTCATCATACTTTGCACTCACTTTTAAGAGTCTTCAAACCATCCAGCAACCTCTTTTTATACACCTTTCCTGCAGCTGTAAGAAACCACATAATTAAGGTCAAATCACATAAGTAAGAGAGATTTGCTTGTACAATAAAAAATTTATAATTTTTCTAATCCAATAATTTCAAAAAGATAGACTTCTTAAGAATTTTCTCTGAATTTATCTGACTGGCTTTTGTTAGTAATAAAGTTTGGAGAAGGACAAATGGGTAAATCTCTTCATTCTTGCACAAAAGATAATGATTATTGGCTTAAAATTTTTAAACATGTATCCCATTTGATTTATTTTTATCTTTGGCTTACACCCCTTACTCTTTTGTTTTTACATTCTTCCTTGTACTCTGAGACATGTTAATGCAACCAAGGACAATAATATAGTTTCCTTATTGGCAGGAATAAATGAAATAGTTATTGTTTACCATAATAAAAAATACGTGATTCAGCTTTTCTTTGGCAAAAATATAGCAATTCTAAGAGTTTCCAAAATGATTTAGAAAAACCCTGATAACATTTGGTACCATTTTAGAAGAAAATATCACTATCAACTATTCTAATGTTCTTTGAAGGATACATAAATACTTACCATTGAGTGGTAGAGTTTTTACTAAATGTGAATATTCCTCATCTGTGAACTCAACTTGCATGTTTTTCAGAGTGTTTTCTAGATCATTGACATCTATCTCCTCTCCTATAGAAAAGACAAATTGTGACAAAAAAATGTGATAGGAACAAAAAATAGTGATTTCTTCCATTAATTGTACAATAAACAAAAAGTTTAAATTTGTAATTGCCTTAATTAATTACATAAATAGGTAATAATGAAATAAGGTATAATTTAGTTCCTTTCTTTATAAAATAGAAATTCAAGTATTTCTTCTAATAGTTTTAAAATGTGTTTGGAGCTGTACAATAGAAGGCATATACATTTCATCTAAAAAGATACATAGATTATGTGCCATATATAAATTAGGTAATTATTAAGTAATACAATGTACATAAAATGCACATAGCAAATGCTTTGATAGAAAGTATGTTTGAAAAAAATAGTATGTTTAAAAGAAAAACTCAGCTGGTTTTACCCTAATACCAAAGTCTGATAAGAAAAAGAAAATACTACAAACAAATATCTCTGATGAAGAGATAAAAAATCTTCATCCAAATACTATCAAACCAAGATTAAAAGCACATCAAAATGGGATTTTTCTCTGAAAAATGTAATAATGGTTCAACATACACAAAACAATATATCACATTTATAATCCGAAGGAACAAAGGACAAAATATATATCTCAATGGATAAAGAAAAATCATTCAATAAAATTCAAGTCTTTCATGATAGGAACTCAATAAATTAGGTATGGGAAGCAAAGTACCTCAACACAATAAAGGCTGAAATGACAAACACATAGCTAATGTTATACTTATTGATGAAAAGTTAAAACTTTTCTTTTAAAATCTAGTCCAAGATAGGGATGTCCACACTTGTCACTTCTATTTAACAAAGTGAAAGTCTTAGAGCAATTAGGCAAGAAAGAAATAAAAAAGATTCCAATTTGGGAAGGAAGAACTTAAATTTTCTCTGTTTGCAGATGACACATAAAGGAAATCTTTAAAGACTCCTCCAAAACAAAAACAAAAACCCCAAACCCCAAAACGAAACAAACAACAAACAAACAAACAAAAAACCCATCAGAATTAACAAATGAATCAGTGAAGTTGCAAGATACAAAAATTAACATAAAAATCACTCAAAAATCAGTAGTGGCTCAATGTATTAACAATGAACTATCTGAAAAAGAAATCACAAACACAATCATGTTTACAATAGTTATCAAAATTTAAAAAACGAATGTATTTAAAAGAAGTGAAAGATCTATATACTGAAAACTAGAAAACATTGATGAAAGAAGTTGAAAACAACACAAATAAATGGAAAGATACCTGGACTGGAAGAATTGGTATTATTAATTAATTGTCCATACCACCCTAAGTGCTCTTCAGATTCAATGCAACCTTATCAAAATTCCAATGACATCTTTCACAAAAGTAGGAAAGATAATCTAGTATTAGATTATTTATTATTTATTATTGTGGTTTGAATGTGTACCCTAAAATTTTATATGATAATGAACTTAGAATAAGTTGGTACTTATGAAAAGACTGACTATTGCTAGAAATTCCCACTACTTTGGGAAAGTTTATTTCCCTTCAGGCTTTTAAAAACTTACAGTGCATTAATATCATCCATGAGCATACTGCCCTTAGACCTAAGGACTTACTATAAGCCTCATTTCTTAATACTATCACATTGAGGATTAGGAATCCAATATGAATTTTAGGGGGATAAAAATCCAATCTATAGAGAAGTGCAAGTCACCTTATACAATACATGCAAGTCACCAGTTGACCCAAGATCCATGGCCCTTGATCAAGTAAAAAGCTTCATGAAGTAAAGAGCTTCCACCCAAGACCATCAAAATATGAAAATGCTAAATGTTAGTGTTTAGTATATTCTTCACATATTTTTATTTTTTGTAATACTGGGGATGGAACCCAGGAGCTCATACAAGTTAGACAAGGGCTGTAATATTAAGTTACATACTCAGCCATTTTTATTTATTTTTGAGACTAGGTTACTGAGGCTGGCCTTGAGTTTGTGATCCTCCTGCCTCAGCCTCTAAATAGCTGGAATTATAGGCATGCACCACCATTCCTGGCTATTTTATCCTTTTATGGCTACATTTTTCCTTTTTATTGATTTAGTAACATATGCTTGTAATGATAATAACTTATTGAAGTTTAAACTTGGAGAAACCTAATTCTATAGCTTAATTTTGTAGTAGCAAACCAATTAAAAAAATATTTGCTATGTTTTGTGGGATTAGTACTTAGATAATTCTAAGTGCATGACTTTCCAACAGCCTCAGTAGATTTTGTTGCCTTACAAAATGGCCAAGGGAATAGGAACTTCTTTGGGAAAATACATAATAACTACATGAATAGATTCCTAAATATAACCAGCAGCATCCACAGGAATTATTTTATTCAAGATTATTTTAGCAATTTGTATCTCACTTTGACTAACCTAATCCATAGAGTCCATGCCCCATCAAATGCAATAAACCAGGTAAAGTTCCCTAGACAAATGACAGAAGAACTTGAATCTTTGGGCTGGGGATGTGGCTCAAGCAGTAGCTTGAAGCAGCTATCCAAAGCCTTCCAACAAAGCCCAGACCAGATCGATTCTTAGCCAAGTTCTACCAGACATTTAAAAAAATTAATACCAATCCTCCTCAAAATATTGATTGAAATAGAAAAGGAGAGAACACTGTCAAACTCATCCTATGAAACCAGTATCATCCTGATACCAAAACCAGACAAAGACACATCTAGGAATGAGAACTTCAGACCAATATCCTTGATGAATAGAGATGCACAGATTCTTAATAATATAATGGTAATCTTCATATAAAAACACATTAAAAATATAGTGCACCATGATCAAGTAGGTTTCAACCCAGGAATACAAGGTTGGTTCAATATACAGAAATCAATAAATGTAACTCATCACATAAGTAGACTGAAGGATAAGAATCACATGATTATTTCAATAGATGCAGAAAAAGCATTTGAAACACATTTGCATGGTGACACACGCCTGTAATCCCAGGAGTTTGGGAGACTCAGGCAGGAGGATCCGTAGTTCAAAGCCAGCCTCATCAACATAGAAAGGTCCATAGCAACTCAGCAAGACTGTTTCTATATAAAATATTTAAAAGGCTGGGGATGTGGCTGAATGGTAAGTGCCCTGGGTTTAATTCCTAGTACCAAAACAACAACAAAAACAGAAACATAGAAAAATGAGGAATAGAAGGAACTTACCTCAACATTGTAAAGGCTACATCTGACAAACCAAAGGCTGACATTATTCTGAATGGAGAAAAACTGAAAGCATTTCCTCTAAAAACAGAGACATGATAAGGATGCCCACTTTTACCACTCCTATTCAAGATAGTCCTTGAAACTCTAGACAAAACAATTAGGCAAGAGAAGAAATTTAAAGGGAAACAGATAGGAAAAGAAGAGCTCAAATTATCTGTTTGCTGACTTCATCATTATATATTTAGAAGATCCAAAATACATCACCAGAAGACTTCTAGAGCTCATAAATTCAGCAAAGTAGCAGGATTCAAGGTCAACACTCATACATTAATTGCATTTCTATATTCCAAAGATAAATCTGCTGAAATAGAAATTAGGAAAAAATAATAACTTCAAAAATAAAGAAAAATAAAATACTTGGAAATCAATCTAATAAAAGAGGTGAAGGACCTCTGCAATGAAAACTATAGGACACCTAAGAAAGAATTGAAGAAGACCTTAGAATATGGGACGACCTCCTATGTTCTTAGATAGGCTGAATTAATATTGTCAAAATAGCCATACTACTAAAGGCAATATATGCATGCAGTGCAATTCCCAACAAAATTCCAATAATGTTTTTCACAGAATTAGAAAAAGTAGTTAAGAAATTCATTTAATATGAGACCCAGAATAGCCAAAGGAATTCTTAGCAAGAAAAGCAAAGCAGGAAGCATTACAATACTGGACCTCAAATCATATTACAAAGCTGGAGTAGCAAAAATTAGCATGATAAAAATTGGCATGAAAACAAGCATCAAGATCTATGGAAAAGAATTGAAGACACAGAGAAAAACCCACTTAAATACAGTTATATGATTCTAGACAAAGGTGTCAAATACATACATTAAAGAAAAGACTGCCTTTTAAAAAAAATGGTGCTGGGAAAACTGGAAATCCATATGTAATAGAATGAAACTTAAGTCCAAATCTTACCCTAACAAAAGTCAACTCAGAGTGGATTAAAGACGTAGAAATGAGACCAGAAACACTGCAATTGCTAGAAGATAATTTAGGCCCAACACTCCAACATATCAGTTCAGGAAGTGACTTCCTTAACAAGACTTCTAAAGCCCAAGAGATAAAATTAAACAAGTTGGATAGTATCAAATTAAAAAGCTTTGTCACAGCAAAGGAAAACAAGAGTATGAAGAGAGAACCAACAAAATATGAGAACATTTTTGCCATCTACTCCTTCGATAGAGCAAGAACTCAAAAAACTTAACACCAAAAAACCCAAATAACCCAATCAATAAATGGTCACAATCTCCTTGTTTCTGAAGTGTACAACCAGTTAAAATTTCCAGTTAAGCCTGCTGATCTTAAGAAGAGAACAGAATCCTTAATTGACCAGGACTACATGGAAAGAGATAAAGAAAACCCAATCGTATCTTTTAAACTACCAACTATCTAAACTCTTTTTTCTGTTAAATTTTGCTTTATTTCTTTTTTTTTCTTTTTATTGGTTATTTTTAGTAATACATGGCAGTAGAATCTAGACTATGAACCCATTCCTCTTTCCACAAATCTCAGATTAGTCTTTTCTGTTTTTTTAGACTCTTCATGTGATTCATCATAAGGGGCTATTGTTTCCCAATCTAAAAGCAAGGGTATGTAAGTAGGGATTCACCTCAGGATACTTGGACATTCTAATTTTGTTTTCATTTTTGAGATGGGCTTAGTCATTTTCCCCCAGTGTTTAATAATAAAACCTAGGGCCTCCTGCAGGCAAGGCAAATGCTCTACCACTTAGCTCCATCCCCGGCCCTTGGACTTTCTATTGAAGTATTCAGAAATGGAGATAATTGTCACAAATAGAGAAGCCTATTTGGTTACATTAGTGTTTGAAATGCTTACCATCAAATGGCAGATTTTTCACCAGTTCCATGAATTCTTTGTTTTTTAACTCAATCCCTATGTTTTCCAGAACAGTTTTCACATCATTGATATCAACTTCAACTCCTTAACAAAAAGATTATAATAATGACATACATGGAATTTAAGTGTAAACAAATGGTTGAAAATCATGAAACTAATTTATAATGTCTATACAATATAAATATGGGTTAGGAAAAGTTATGGCCACTGAACCCTGACCAATTATGCAGAGAGAGTGTCATTCTCAGAAACACAATTTGTTTTGTAAAGGCTGTTAACAGAGGCCACTCTCGATGGTGACCATGAGAATATGCCAGTAGAATGTCCAACTTCAGAGAACCAAGAATTTCTTTGAAATTCATCCCTGTATTTGCACTGAGGCCACATCTTGGTCAGTGCAAGACTGAGTGCAGCAGATACCAAGGAAAATCTGTTTCTGGGAGGTAATGGCTGAATTTGAGAGGATTTCTTGAAGGCCTTGCCAGACCTTCCTTAGACTGTATGGTTATTTAGGATGCTCCCACCAAACCTTTCCTTCCTCTCTCTTTCACTTGGAATCAGACTTGACTTGTAGTCTGACACCTCCAAGCAGGTCCCTCCCTATTTTCTCTGATACAGGCATTTCTCTTAAAATGTCCCTTCATACTTAATCCTGCCTTGATGTCTGCTTCTTGAATAGCTTGCACTAATGATGGCACTCATAATGCAAAGAAGAAGAGATGGGTGTTATATAATTCTCTTTTCAATTAGCAAACTGCAAATGGCCTATTTAATAATTATATCAACATGTAGAACCCAAATCTCTCCTTTAAGTTATTATCCTTTCCAAATATTGATTTCATTTTATTGTAGAATTTCGCTGTCTTAAAATAAGGAAAATGGAATATACAAGTGGAAAATATACTAGAAAATCCTGACTTCTGGGTTATTGTACAGAAAACATTAAATAAATAGGAGTTAAATGGTAAAATTAGCATAGCAATTAAGGAACAAAGAAAAATATAGATTCTGTATAAAATTAGGATTCTATGTTTAACATCTCACTCACCTGTAACAGCATTCACTCCAGCCATCACCTTATTTAGATCAACTTTTCCATTAGCTATGAACAAAAGGGACAAATGAGACATGCAGTCAATGTCATAAGCTCAGAAAAACCATGTATGAAGAATATATATTGTGGGGAAATTCCAGATAAGCTAGTAATATATTTTGAAATTTGTAGTGTAATGCTTCCAAGATTGCTTTACTCAAGATAACCATGGCTATCTGAGTTCTTTTGTGGTTACATATGAATGATGTTATTTTTATGTTTCTGTGAAAAATGCCATTGAAGTTTCGATAGGTATTACATTGAATTTGTAACTTGTTTAGGGTAGTATGGAGATTTTAACTATTAATTCTTCTTATTCAGAAACTCAGTGTATATTTCTATTAATTTGTATCTTCTTCAATTTCTTTCATTAGTGTTTTTTATAGCTGGATGCAGTGGCATATGCCTACTAAGTTTGGGCTTTGTTTTTCTTCTTTGAGCTCACTGAGATATACATTAAGTTATTTGTTTGAAATCTTTCCTTTATTTATTTATTTGATATGGGCATCTTTTGTTATAACTTCTCTTTTGAAACTGCTCTTGATGCATCTCAAAAAGCTTTGGTATTTTTTATGACCATTTTCACTTGCATCAAGATATTTTTTCTCTTTTAATTTTTCTTTGATCTATTGATTGTTCAGGAGCATCTTCTTTAATTTCCATGTATTTGTAAATTTTCCAAGATTGTTTTTGTTTATTGATTTCTGGTTTTATACTATTGTGGTTGAAAAAAGATATTTGATATGGTTTCAATCTTCTTAAACTGTTAGAACTTGTTTTATGACCTAATATGTCATTTATCCTGGAGAATGTTTCATTTGTGCTCAAGAAGAATGTATTTTCTTTTGCTGTTATTTTGAATGTTCTGTGAATATCTGTTGGGTCCATTTGGTCCAAAGGGTAATTTCAGTCTGATGTTTCCTTACTGATTTTGTTTAGATGATCTTTCCATTGTTCAAAATGGGGTGCTAAAGTACTGTGTGTTACAGTCTGTTTCTCCCTTCAGACTATTAATATTATTTTATACATATACAGATGCTCCAATATTAGGTGCATGTGTATATTTATAATTACCATATCCTCTTAATAAATTGATCTATTTATCAATATATTGTGACTGTTTTTGTGTCTTTTTATAGTTTTTTTTTTTAAATGTCTATTAGGTCTGATATAAATTTAGCTATCCCTGCTCTCTTTTGGTTTTCACTTGCATGTAATATTTCCATCCCTTCACTTTTGGTTTATGTGTATCTGTGTTAGTCAGTTTTTTTTAAAAAATAACTAATTTAGAGGAGGAAATGTTTATTTTGGCTCAGTTTCAGAGGTTCAGTCTCTAGTCAGTTGACTCTATTACTTTGGGCCCAAGGTGAAGCAGAACACCATGGTGGAATGGCAGTGGCAGAGGAAGAAAGATTCCCATCTTATGGCAGTGGGTAAGCAGAGAGGGGGAGAGGGGCAAAAGGGAAGATGATCCCTTCCACTGCACACCCTCCGAACCATCTCCTCCAGCCATACCCGACTGCCTGCAGTTGACACACAATCAGTTCATTCAAACTAAGAGACTGATTAGGTTATAGCTCTCATAATCTAATCATTTCACATCTGGACATTTCTGCATTAATACAGGTGTTTTGGGGAATATCTCATATCCAAACCATATCAGTGTAAAACTGAATTGAATCTCTTGTATGTACCATATATTTAGATCTTGTTTTTTTGTTTTGTTTGAAAAAAATGTATTCTATGTCTTTTCTTATTTACTTTGGGTGTCCTTTTGTGCAGGATGAGAAATAGGGATCAAGTTTCATTCTTCTACATATCCAGTTTGCCCAGAAGAATTTGTTTAAAGGCTATCTTTTCTCCAACATATGTTTTTAACATCTTTATTGAGTAGCAGGTGACTGTATCTATGAGGATTTATCTCTATATTTTATACAGTATTCCACTGGTCTTCATGACTGTTTTGATGCCAATACCATGCTGATTTTTGTTAGTATATCTCTGTAGAATAATTTGAGATTTGGTATTGTGATGCCTCCTGCATCACTCTTCTTGTACAGGATTGCTTTGGTTATTCTGGATCTCTTATTCTTCCACATAAATTTTAGAATTGTTTTTTTCCCCAGTTCTTTGATGAACATCATTGATATTTTAATGGGAATTATATTGAATCTGTATAACACTTTTAATAGTATGGCCATTTTGATAATATTAATTCTTCCTATTCAAGAACATGGGAGATCTTTCCATCTTCCAAAATCTGCTTTGATTTTTCTTTTCAATATTATATAGTTTTCATTTCTCTTTGGTTAGATTTATTCCCAAGTAATTTTTTTCAGGTTACTGTGAGTAGGATAGTTTTCCTAATTTATTTTTTCAAAAGCAGATTCTCTATTGGAGTATAGGAAAGTATGTTGATATTGTTTTATAGTTTGGATGTAAGGTGTCCCCCAAAAACTCATGTGTGAGACAGTGTAAGAAGGTTTAAAGGACAAATGATTGGGTTATTAGAGCTTTATCCAATCAGTGAATTAATTCCTGATGAGATTACCTGAATGGTAACTGAAGGCAGGTAGAATATGGCTAGAGAAGCTGGGTATTTGAGGGCGTGTCTTTGGAGTATCTGGCACGTGAAGTCTCTCTCTGCTTTCTGATCATCATGTGAGCCACTTCCCTCCACCACAGTCTTCTGCCATGATGTTCTGCCTCACCTGGAGCCCCAAGGAATGGCGCAGACTGTCTATGGACTGAGACCTCTGAAACTGTGAGCACTCAAATAAGCTTTTCCTCCTCCACAATTGTTCTTGTCAGGTCTTTAAGTCACAGCAGAGAAAAAGCTGACTAAAACATCTTGTATCCTGCTACTTTGCTAAGCTAAATTTGTTTAACAGCTCTAGAAGTCTTCTGGCATCTTTTTTTAAAATACAAAACTGCTGGGCCAATGCTGGCACTAATAAATGCTGCTTTCTGCTGAATGCCCTGGTGCCCTGTTTCTCTGTGCAAGAATCCCATATTATAATTAAACTGAAAAGATTTCATTGACTTTCTGTCTTTTGAAAAACTAATAAATCATTGAACATCTATCATATACAAAAGGCTATTATGAACCAAGTTAAACTGTTAATTTAGCTTGCTAAATTAGAATCCCAATTTTTTTTAGGAAGACAAAAGCATCTAAAACATTTTTGTTCTTTCACTTATTTCCTGAATAATTACCTATTGTGACTCTAATAGCAGAAGACAAATTTGAAATATAAACTATTGTTGAGAAAACACGACTAATAAGCACAATACTATCCATTTTGTGCTCAGAGGTTTTAAAAGTGAGAGTTTGTTTCCCACATCTAGAATTTTTTCCTATATATTATTATAATTTCAAGCAACCCCCCAAAATAAGGAAACTAATCATACATATTGTGTTAGGAGATTGAAAATATGAGAAAATAAGAGTAACTTAGAATGCCTTCTATAAAAAAAAACAAACCTTATTTCTGACAAATGGAAAGTAAGACATGGCAAAGGTAATAAATACTAAATGGCATTTGAGAAAGACAAAGGATGGAAAAAAATGACTTGCCCAGGGCAGGTAGGAAATATTACAGGGTGAAACATTTCTTGACCTAATAGTTAATCTCTTCAGGTTAACATATTGTGGTTCTTGTCCTTCCAGGTGTTGATCACTTGTGAAGAGTTATACTTAAACCACATTTAACACTTCTTAAAAATAAGAGCTTATTCTAGCTTACCAGAAGGGAGGTGAGTTCTTGTACTAGACCTTGGATAAGGTAGTCTGGCTACTTGATATGAAAACCCTTCTAGTTTAGGAAAGATAGCATGTCAAGCACACTGAACAGAATTATGGGTAGTTTGCTCTGTGACAAAAGTCTATGAGAGACCAAAAAAGTTGTTATATTACTTCTTTTTACCTTTCCCTCTATTTTATATTGGCTGGAAAAAAACATAATGTCTTTAAAATTGAAGCTATTTGGTGGGAAAGGTTAATCATTATGCTCATCAGGTATTCTTTGTTTCTCCCTTGTTCATTTCTATTTTAAATTCTCTTACATTCCATTGCCACAGGTCCTGCCATCTACACCCTCCTCCCACTTGTTTTCTTGCTCTTTATTGGCCCTTCTATAGATTGGTGACATCTTCAGCAATGTGTAAAATTCACAGTGAAAGAAATCACCAACTTTATGTTGATATAAATGCCAAGAGAAAGAATTTGTTCTTATTTTAATTTTTTTTCAAAGTTTTGTTTGTTTTGTTTTTTTTAATGGCTTGATGTCAAGCAAGCATATTGAAGAGATTCAAATGTGTAATTACACAACTTATGCTTCAGAATGGCATAATAATGATAATAATAGTCTAATTTGATTCTCACAAAACTCTAAAATTAGGTGCTATTAATAAACCCTTTCCATAGATGAAAAAAGTGTGTCATAGAAACATTAAGATGATAAGCCATTAAGCAAAAGAGCCCAAATTCAAACCCAGGCAGTGTAGCTCCAGTATTTATACTTCTAGTCATTATATTTCTTTTTTTTTTCTTTCAGTAATAGGGTTGGAACCCATTCCTCATGCATGCTTGGCAAGTGCTCTACTATTGAGGTACATCCCCAGCCCTTGCTATTCTGACTTTGAATGGTAGTAGAAATGCTTACCATCAACTGGAAGGCTCTTTGTTAGATCTTCAAGCTCCTTTTCTGTGAAGTTCATCCCCATATTTTTCAGAACTATGTCTAATTTACCAGCTTCAATTTTTCCTCCTTAAAAAAGAGAGAGGATAAGAGCAAATTGATAATAACTCTAAGATATGACAAAAATGAGCAATCTAATTCTTTTGATCTTTACTGTTGACTGAATGTTCGGACAGGTTGATGTTGATGTTGATTAAATTTTCTGAATAAAAGCAGGCCTTTTATCATTTTTTACTGTACAGATTTAGATTTTGTTTATTTCAAGTGTTGCCCCAAATTCAGAAATTCTAAGAGAATGTGGAACTTCCCTCTACAATTTAACATGTAAAATTAAATAGTATCCACTTACATGAAATGCTTAGAAAAGATAAATGCATAGAAAGTAGAATAGAGATTTCCAGGGACTAGAAAGAGAAGGGAATGAGGAGTTAACTCCTAATATGTACAGTTTCTGTTTGTAAAATGATGAAAGGTTGCACAATATTGTGAATATACTTTAAGCTGCTGAACTATACACTTGAAGATAGTTAAAATTATAAATTTTATGTTATGCATATTTTACTACAATAAAAATAGTAAACTACAAAGCATGTATAGAAGAATTTTTAAATTTTTTATTTGTTCTTTTTAAATAATCATGACAGTAGAGTGTGCTTTAACATATAAGAGAGGCAATATACATGATAGGAGACATTTTTAAATGTCTAAAACATAAATTAAATCAAATTAAAGAATTTCAAATTTGTCTGCCTTTTCAATGATTCTTTCTTTTTTATTTTATGTTATTGGTTCTTTTTAGTTATACATGACAGTAGAATTCATTTTGACATAATTATGAAAGCACAGAATATATCTTGTTCTAATTCAGTCCCCAATATGATTCTTTCTTACCTCTAAGAGTCTTTATACCTTCCAACAATCTGTTCTGATAGGTTTTTCTATCACCTGTAAGAAAACATATAATTCAGGTCAAAGAATAATCAGAATTACTAAGATGGTATAAAAATCATTTCAGAAAAAGGCTCTAGAATTATTTTTCAATTTAAATGAACTATAAAGATATTACAAAATACAGAACTCTAAAAGGTAACCACTTTTTCTCTTTGCCATGTAAAGCCAATATTATTATTTTATTGTGTTGAACTACAGTCTTTTTCTTTTTTTTCCAGTGCCTCACACGTGTGAAGTGAGCACTCTACTGCTGAGCCACAACTCCAGCCCTGAACTCCAGTCTTTTAATCCTTCTTTTTACTTTTCACATTCTGACTTCTGCTACATTACCAAACTTCCTTTTTCTTAAATTACCTTGTTTAACCTTAAGTGTTCCAGTAAATTTAAGAGTAATGATTCACAATTGTGATATACTTCTTGATTTCCAAATGAAAGACAATTACATAATTTAATTAAACAATTAAAGATTTATTTTTCCTGTAAAACTAAGTTATAATTTCTTGTTGGTGAAAAGCTTTTTCTTGAGTATTAAATGTGACAGACATATAAAATCAAACATTTCTAAGTTCCCTTGAAGGTTATTTTATAGGTTTTTTCAATAGTAGAACTACTGAAATTCTGGGCTGGATAAAAATTCTTTATTGTTAGGGGAGTGCTGTCTTATTCATTGTAGGATGTTTACTAATCTACAGCCACTATCCATTAGATACCAATGGTACCTCCCCCAACCCTCAGTTGTGACAATGAAAAATGTCTCTATGGATTGCCAAATGTCTATTCAGGATAAAAACTGCCCCCTCTACTGAATATCACTGTTATATTGATATTTTAAAATCTTACCATCAGCCAATAACTTTTCCACCAGTTCCCAGTATTCCTCATCTGTAAGTTCTATCCCCATGTTTTTCACAACATCTTCTATATCAGAGATATCAATGTTCTCTCCTCCAAATAATAAGAATTATAAAATGTAATAATTTTAAAAATTACTTAACTCTTTTTAATAAAATATTAATCTGCTACTAGTTCAAGAACAAAGATTCAATATAAACACATGTGAAATATATTATCTCATAAATATGGGGACAGGATAATAAAGTATTCAATAAAATGAAGGAATAAAAAGTGCCAGAATAAGTTAGAATATTTCAGACTATATTTATAAGTTAGTAATTGGATAAAATTCATGTTAGTCTTTGTATAGTTATCTATATCTTTACTGAAGCTTTATTTAATCCACAGTGTATTCTATACTTTGGTCATTTAAACACAGTGGCTATAACATAAGTTATTGACAAATACTTAATAGAAAAAGGCTTGCCCAAATTATACTGTCATCTTGTGTCTATGTATAAATATATAACAAGAAATCCCACCATTGAGTATAATTATTATGCACCAAAAAACGTATGAAAAAAATAAAAAGACTTGTGCACTATATTATTGTTACTAAAATATATCCAATCCACATTTCAACTCTGGGAAATTAGATACATACCATTTATTTATCAAAAGGAAATTACCTTAATAAATAAGGCAGTAGTTATGATGAAAGTATCATTGAATATAATTTAGTATAATTATTTATGTTCTCAGATTCAGAGTACTTTGTCACTCACCTGTAACAGCTTTCACTTCATCTATTAGTTTACTGAGACCAATCTTCCCATTAGCTGTTAGGAAAGGCACAATTAATACAGACCATACATACTTAAAAATAGACAAAGAATTTATAATCTCCAGTCAAACTATATTTTTTCCTATATTTCATAAAGCTATATTTAATTTATAATAACTAGATTTCAGTATTCATCTGTTTCCTGGATCATATTTATAATTTCTTTAGGCCAGAAGATACTATATTGCTTTACAAGAAATACAAGATTTGATTTAATGCTAGCCATAAAGTTCCATCAGTGGTCATCACACATGGAAAAGCGTAATTTTTCATCTTTTATCTTTTGCTAAAATACTTTTCTCCAATATTTTCAATTACCATGACTTGCTGGAAATACTTGATTTCTACATATTTGAGTCAACTACCAAAGTATTCTATCATTGTTTAAATTTTTGTATCTAGTAATTCAATCATTTTTTAAAAATGTAAAGAACTGTTAATAAAAATTAGTCTTTATAATAAGCTTTGGGTGTATATAGCAGACATTTCTGGATATCTGCCAATCGGTCATAATACCTACTGTTATTTCTGTGGCTATAACATAAGTTATTGACAAATACTTAATTTGTCAATTAAGTCTAATTTGGTAAGCTTTCTCTACATGGTCATGCACCTCAGACAGAGCCTTGCATAAGCCCCAGGAAGTGAATGATGGCAAATAAAACCCAAAGGTAGAAGAAGAAAATTAATGATAAAGGTTAGATGAAGATAAATGAAACAGAGACTAGAATTGAAATAAACTGAAAAAGAATAAAAACCCTAAAAGTTTGTCCTTTGAAAAGACCGAAAAATGGACAGATACTTATATAGTAGCCTGATTTAAAAAAGAGAAGAGATAAATACTAAAATCAGAAGTAAAGACAGGAACATTACTACACAAATGAAAGGACTGATGAAGAATACTATGAATAAGTGTACATGAAGAAATTAAATAACTTAGATGAAATGGGCACATTCCTAGAAACATAACTGCCAATAATGACACAGAGCAAACAGAAAATATGAATAGACCTTAAGAAAGAAACTGAACCAGTACTTAAAAATCTTTCAACAAAGGGAAGTTGATGACCAGACAGCTTCACTGATAAATTCTACCAAGATTTAAAGAAAAATTAACCTAAATTTTTCTCAAACTCTTCCAAACAATGTAAAAGGAGGGGAAAATTCTCAATTAATTCTGTGAGTTAAGTATTACCCTAATATCAAAGGAGGAGTTAATGTAAACTAACTGCTTAAAGGCAATTTGGATCCTTAATTGGGTAATGAGAATGTTTAAAACCTGCATAAGAGGTGGGAGTTGCACAATACTGTGAATATATTAAATGTACTCACTTTAAAATAGTTAATTTTATGTTATGTGATTGTATGAATTTCACCTCAAATAATTTAAAGAACAACCTAAGAGCAGACACCATTAGGCAAGGGTGAAATTTTAGAAACTTTTCTGTTAAAGCCACAGAAACAAAAATGCCTGTTACTTCTAGTACTCAACATGGGCCTGCAGTTTCCAGCTAATGAAACATGAACACAAAAAGAATACCTGGTTTAAAAATTAGAGTAAATAAGATATATAATCATTATAAACCAATGAAAAGGTATGGAAAACTTAGACTCTAGCCTATGCATAGAGTTACTTTACAAAACAGTTGAAGAGGCTAATGAAAAATTGATTATTAATATAGAAAAAAATTGATTTCAAATGCACAACAAAACCAAAGAATTCCATATCAATTTGAAGAAAAATGCTAACAATGTTTTAAAAAATGGGAAAAATTGCCTAAACAGAAAAAGAAATTATAAATTATAATTATAACAGAATCTCCTAAACAGAAATTATAAAGGAAAATAGTGAGCAAATTTAACTCTACTAAAATTAAGAAGTCATGTTCAATAATATTTGATAATCAATGTGAAATAATAAACCATGTTAAGGTCTAGAACTTAAATCTCCCTCAAAGGCTCATGTGCTAAAAACTTGGCCCCCCATCACAGTAGTGTTCAGAGGTAAGGCCTTTGGTAAGGTCATCAGATCACAGATTCTAACTTCATCAGAGGGTTAATTCATTGATTGATTAAAAATTTGATGGCTTTATCAAGGGGTGGTGAAAACTGCAAAATTGAGGTCTACCTGGAGGAAGTAGGTCACTGGAGACATGCCATGAAAGGTTATATCTTGTTCCCATTCCTTTCCCCCTATCCCCTCTCTCACTGCATCCTGGTTTCCATGAGGTTAGAATATAAGTAGGAGTCTACTAAATTAAAGTATAATAAAGTCCTTTTGTGCCATGTTGAATTTCATAGTTCCCAGGGACATATAGAGATGTATAGGATATTTGGACATAGCCCTTTGAAGTTCAGGAATGCTGCATATATTATTTATTTTGCTTACCATTAACTGGAAGGTTTTCTACCAGACTTTCAAGTTCTTTTTCTGTGAGCTTAATTCCCATGTTTCCAAGAACTCTGTTCAGGTCACTGATATTAACCATTCCTCCTTTAAAAAAAAAGTGTAAATTAAATGAGACAAATGATTATAAAGCATTAAAATATAACTACACTAACCCTTATCTTATGTGATGGTGGCTCTTACCTAAGAATGATAAAAATAAGATATATTAATAACTGAAGAATTAAATTAAAGAATTATGAATAATATTTGTTTATTTAATCCTTGATTGAAAGATAAAGGAATATACAAACAAGATTTTAACTTTTTAACTAGAGTGGAAGTAACTAATCACCTTGTTTTCTGAAATAAACATTATTTTTGTAACTTAAGCTTCTAGATTGTCACAAATTTCTAAAGTAACTGACTCCTTGCTATATATAAAAGTTTCCATTGTTTTTTTCCCCTAGTAAAGTTTGGGAAAATTCAAGGCTAGATGCAAAAATATAAACAAGGTTATTATCTGATAAAATATAGCTATTTAAAGAAACATAGCTAATGAATTAGCTTACAATATCCAAAGTAAAATATTATAAATAAAGACCCAGGAATTTCATATTTAAATTATCACCTTTAAGAGAATTTATGCCACTCAGCACTCTATTCTGAAACACCTGTCCAGTAGCTGTAAGAAAAGGCAAATTTACATCAATGAAAATTATATGGGCAATCAACCAAAAAGGAGTATTTTATATTTCATTATTCTAGATCAGATTTTCTTTAAAATGTAATTTTATATGGAAATAAAGATGAAAGTTGGAATGGCAACTTTTAAAAAAGTGACAAATCTTTCTAAGATTTTGTTAACTAAAGAAATTGTAAATTTGAGGAAAAAAGAAAGAAAGAAGTTGTAAATTTGGGGCTGGGGTTGTGGCTCAGTTGTATAGCCTCACACATATGAGGCACTGGGTTTGAAGTTCAGCAACACATGAAAATAAATAAAAAATAAAGGCATCACGACCACTACACCACTACCATCATAACTATAATAGCACAATAGCTAACATTTATTGAATTTGTATCATATCAGTCACTTTTAAATGTGTTTTATCTCATTCAATTTTACCCTCATTTTGTAAGTGAGGAAATTAAAGCATAGAGAGGTTAAGAAGTAATTTTTTCAAGACACCATAGTTGATAAGCATTGGAGCCAAGGTATGAATCTATTAGACTCAAAATACTTTGCTCTTAATTATTTCACCATACCATTATTTCCCAGTTCTTCCTTTTCTTCTACTAGCTTTTCACTATCATCATTATCTTTTTTTTTCACTTATTATAATTAGGCCTTATCATCTGGGTTAAAAATTAAGTTATAGTATTCACTTTAGTCATGACTGAATAAATAAAATAAAGGTAGTGTGTCCATCTAGTTGTAGATGGACACACTACTTTTATTTTATTTATTTTGATGATTTTAAAAAGTAAAATTTAATTTACAGTTACATGGTTTCTACATAACTGAGAACTTTTTTCCTAATAAAATTTAGGAATTTCTAGTGGAAATTTCAGAAAAATTTTATAACTTCTCAAAAAAATCTTTAAAATCAGGCTCTCTGTAGGGCCCAAGCAGCAAATATATTGACTCACCATCAGTTGGGAGGGTTTTCTTCAGCTCTGAGTATTCCATATCTGTTATCTCAATCCCCATGTTTCTAAGAAGGTTTTGAAGATCACTTACATCAACCTTTTCTCCTTTGAAATCATGAGAATATTAGACATTTGAGAGTTTTAAGACCCACTTAGTGATTTCAAATAATAAAATATTCATGTCTGAAAATCTATTAAGAATCTTCTATAATTTAAAAACATGCAAGGGCAGAAATCTATTTCTCTCTCTAAAGAGAAATTATTTCCCTAATTTATTGAAAAATAAGATCTCCTAAGTCTAAGAGACATTAATTTTTGTTCCATAATTGGCCACTGATTAGAAAACCATAGGTAGATAGTCTAAAACATTCACATTATCTGAAGTACACCATTTGATCTGAACTGTGTGATTAGTAATTCACAGTGATGAGGATAATGTGAATAGCTGAAGTTTGGATAAACAATGCTCTGAAGATTCTTAGAAAATGAATAACAGACTAAAACAACATGCTATCAAGATGTAGTCCTTTGATCTATTGTTAAAACCTAATGTTCAAATGTAGTCAATAGAGTATCTCAATTAATAAATTAAATCTCCATATTTTTAAGACAGTGATTAGGTAATTAGAATATGCTGATGAAACAAAACCTATTAAAAATAGTACAATATACTTAAGCAAATTGGTTTTGTAGTAATTTTTACTAACCTGAGAATTTTTTTACTTCATCCATCACTGTTTTAAGAGTGACTTTCCCATCAGCTATAAAATAAGATATAAGTTACAGACATAGATACTAAAAAAATGATATAAAGTACCAAAGGAATATACTAATTTTCCAAGACTTGCTGCAGAATTTTTTTTATAATTTCATTTGATTTAAAAAAATCTCTTTCAAGATTATGGAGAAGGAAAGAAAATCCTATATGCTAAAATGTCTATAATAACAATGTTACTTTGATATTCTACCTTCAAGTTGCTGAGTCATATACATAGCAGACAAAATTAAATTTCAGTTGAAGGTGGTGTTACACCCCATCCCAGCTACTTAGGAGGCTCAGGCAGGAGGATTATAAATTCAAGACCTACCTGGGCAATTTGGCAAGACTCTGCTTAAAATTAAAATAAAAAGCGCTGGGGATATAGAATGTCCTGCTTTCAATCTAAAATACCACAAAAATTTAAAAGTTCTATAGGAATTGGGGGGTTTTTGCTTGGATACTTTGGAGTGTATTTTTCTTTTTGCTTTTTCTTTGAGACAGGGTCTCACTATGTTGTTCAAGCTGGTCTCCTAACTTCGGGGCTTAAGTGATCCTCCTGCCTCAGATTCCCAAGTAGCTAGGACTATAGGCACATACCACCACACCCACCTTATTTTTTCCATTTAATATGCTGATGAAACAAAACCTAAAAGTAGTTCAAATTGCATACCAGTGTTTTAATTGCATTTTGGAAATTATCTATTCAGTATATTCATAATTTATTTTATCATTATAGATTTTACTTTATTTGATACTTTGTAATATAAACTTCAGCTATAAGTAATTTGGGGAGTAATCTACCCAATTGTATTGCTTAATGATGGGCTTTGTATATTACAAAAGCTCAGTAAATTTAATCCAGTGTAACATATATTTATTGAGTACCTGTTATGCATTTAGCACTGTCTTAAAAACTAAAGATATAGTAATGAATTAAATGAAAAAATTATATAGTGTATTAGGTAATAAGTCCTAGGAAGAAAAGTAAATCTGAGAAATGGCAATAGAGATTGCTGCAAAGGGGTACTGCTGCAATTGAAATAGAAAAGTTACGAAAGGTATCACTGAGGTGACATTTGAGAAGACTTAAAGGTGGAGGAATGAGGCAGGTAGATATCTGGGGGAAGAATGTTCTAGGCAGAGCTAAGAGTAAGTAAAAAAGGCTTGAGATGGAAGCACGGCTGATTCATATGTCTGGAGACTGGTGTGTCTGAAATGGACTGAGCAGAGAAAAGTAGTAGAAGAAGACTCAGAGAGCTTGAGCAAATTATATAAGACTTTCTAGGACATAATGCCGCAGTCTGGCTGGGCACAATTCAGGAGCCACTTGTCAAAAGAAACGAACTTTATTTTTAGAACCACACATGCCAAACAAAACAGTTCCTCAGGAAAACCTTCAGAGCCCAACTGCCACCACCAGCTTCCCACAAGCCTCTCAACCTCCCTCACTCCTCCTGCTCTTGAGGCCGATTGGCTGGGTCCTGTGGGTGGAGCCAAAAAAAGTCCCCCAATGAGCAGCTCCGTAGTCTGAAAGGGGGGGGGGAACAGCTCAATGAGCATCACCGCAGAGGAGCCAATCAGCTAGAAGTTGCTGGGGCCACTGTGAGCCAATCATCAGCTGGCAGTCTGAAAGTTTGCTGGGGCCCCTTCAGCTATGGCTCTTAACACATAGTAAGGACTCTGACTTCAACTCTGAGAAAAATGGGGAACCATTGGGTATTTTGAGTACAGGAATTTCATGATGTGATTTATATTTTAGCAGGATAACTTTGGATACTATGTGGAGACAAAGGGAAAAGGTAGGTTTAAGTGGAATAGTTAGAGGATTACCATAATAATCCAGAGGAGTGGCAGTTGCAAGAATAAGGAAAAAAGTATTAGAGGTAGTGAGGAATGTAGGTTATGAGTCACAATTCTGGAGGGACAGCTAATATTAATAGCTCAAGGATTGAAGGTATTGTGTGAGAAGACAGGATTCATAATGATTCCAAGATTTTGGCTAAAGCAATAGAAAAGATGGAGTTGACATTTACTGGTATGGAAAAGACAGATTAGTACAGAAGATTAGGAGTTTTGTTTTAAACGTGTAAATTTTTGATACTATTATACGTTTAAGTAGGCAGGTGAATATATGATTCTGGAATTCAGAATAGAGGTTCAGATCAGAGAGGTACATCGATTAGGATCTGTCAGTATAAATATAGCATTTAAAGTTATGAAGCTATTTAAGAATATCAAGGGAATGTGTGCACACAGAGAAATGGTCCAGGATTTAATCTTGGAACATGTGAAAGATGAGATGTTTTGAGAAGTGAGGAAGAACCAGAAAGGAGACAAAAGTAGAACAGGGAGTGATCTAGAAAAAAAGTAAGCATGGGCTCTTGAATGTCAAACTATAGAAATGGTGATATGTAGGAGAAACTGATCAAATGTGTTAAACAAGATGGAAACTGAGCCTAGCTGTGGGAATATTATTGGTGCTGTTGGTATGCATATAAAAATCAATTTTGAAATAGACATCAAAATTGGAAGTACAACAGAGAGAAAATTTAGCTCATAAAAGTGCATTTTCCAGATCTTCCTTTGAACAATATTTCAATAGTAGTACCTATTTTACTGTTTTGTGAGAAATAGATGAAGTAATATATTAAATAATCTTTGTATAGTGCCCCACTTATACATAACCATTATATAATTGTTGGCTATTATCATTATTTAGGAAGAGAAAAAGTGGCTAATAAATGTTTATTTTATCACCAAAACTATTAAAACTCTTTATTTTTACAAAAAACTTTTATAGAAATTTCATATTAGTGGGAAACCTTAGTATCTATGAACTTTGAATCTATAATATCAGTGAACTGAGACATATAAACAATTAAAAGGTAACATAACATATACAGTGAATCAGAAAGCCAGCCAGATAAAAACATTAAATGTTGATAACACTTAATAATTAATTGTTTAAGAAGAATTAATTGTAATAATTAAATGTATAAGAAGAATTTAATTGTAATAATTAAATGTATAAGAAGAATCTTTGGTTCTTTTTTCTCCTACCTGTATCTTGAAAATCAAATTGGACCAATGTTAATTTCCATATGAAAGTCATCATGTGGGGAGCATTTGTGCTAATTTAATTTAGCTTTCATAGCATTAAAAATAAATAGGTATCACTGATAGAAAGATGATAGGAACAAGGATTAAAATGTTCATTCCAATCTGGATTTGTATTATTGTCTTCAGGTGATGAATCTTACCCTTCAGGTACTGGATCTTACCTTTTACCTATAGATATCTAGCAATTTCCACACAGTCACCTAATGAGGAAGTCATTCCTGGAGGAGTGTGCTCAAGGGCTCTAAGCCCTCGGCAATTCAATTGATATCAGAGTTGGAATCAAGTAACTTAGGGAGAATTGTTTAAATTTTTGTTTTATATTTTTCCCCCTTCTTACACAAGTCTCCACACAATTCAGTTGGTCAAAATACCAAAAAGGAATAAAAATTTTACAATAAATTACAAAATGACCATTTTTACTTGATTAGTTTCCACTGTTTAAATAATAACCAACTATAATTTTATTAGCTTTTAGGAACTGTAAGAAGAATCTATTCTGGGGCAAATCTAGGACTCCTTCAATCAAGATTGCTTCCTTGGATGCAGTTGGTCCCACTTCTAAATTCACTTTTCTCGTTAATTTATTAAAATAATATAGTGGATTCTATTCCACTGTAGTCCTAGTCATTCTCCCAGCAGCCAGAAGTTCCTTCACTGGGATTTGACTTCTCGTGAGGGAGGTCCTTCCCCTCTGTAAGGTGCCTGTATCTAATGATGGTTGATGTAGGATACAAATGCCCAGTCTCTGTGGAATCAGCTGAGACTTCTGAAGCAACTTTTAAACCCTGCAGTTCAACTTTTACCCCTCTCTGTCCAATCCTGCTTTGCTTATTTCCTGAAATGTGTTGTCCTGAAAACATTCCCAACAAACTTGCATACCAATTTCTGCCACAAGGTCTGTTTCTTGGGTCAGAATAACATTTAGCTACAAAGAAAACATGCCAGCAAAAATTATATGCATGTTCCTCATCAGTTTTTGAAAAGTGAATAGGAAAGTTAAGAAAAGCCTCACTGTTTTCATCTCTCAGGCAACAATCAGAGTTCCTGAATGCTAGCATGGAATCATGGAGACTTGCCCAGAGATATCAGAATCCATAAAGTTTCAAAAGTAGGGGAAACATGATATATTTTCTAGAATGACCACAATGTTCCTCCCACTGTGGTAGTTGCCATCTCTAGTGAAGTGAGAGTCACATTCATTGCTCCCTATCCTTTATAACTTCCTATTGAAGGGGAAATTATGACTGTTCTTATTTACTTAAAAAAATTCCTAGTGGTATTTTCATAATTTTCTACCATAATAATTATTCTTTCTTTTTTTCATTCTATTTTATTTCCATCACCTTTTACTCTCCTTTTAATTTTCTGCTTTATTCTTTTTTCCTATATGTCAGCGATCTTAGAGATTTTCTTGAGCTAAATTACACAGTGGAAAAAGTTACTGTAATGATGAGTGACAATATTTGATGAGAATAACTGGAGAGTAATTTGATTCTTACTTTGGGCCTTTTTTCCCTTTAAGTTTTTCTAAAAGGCTTCTTGATTCCAAATAATCATGCTTAAGTTATTTATACAAAAAACATGCAAGTTCCTCTCCTCTTGAGGAGCTCAGTAAATTTAAATACTTACCATCCACTGGCAGATTCTGAGTCAGATCTTTAAATTCCTTTTCTGTGAGTTCCATATTTCCCAGAACTGTGTCCAGTTTACTGACATCAATTGTCCCTTCTTGTGAAAACACAGGCATATAAATAAAAATTAAGGAATCAAAAAAGTGGCAAAGTTATTAATTCTAATATTAGGTTATAATTATCACTTTCAATGTAAAGATAGAGGCCCAAGTTCCAATAAATAAGGCAAAAATAACAAAGAGAATCAATAGTGGATTTAACAATAGAAACTTCATGTAAAGCTGGTCTCAAGGACTAATGTACACAGCATTAAGTTTTAAAAGGGTTAGATTAATTCAATTAATTCAATAGTCAAGCTGACAAATCTATGTAATTTTATCCTATAAGTACAGTTTATTTTTGTTAACTGAACCTTCAGATTACTTATGCCAATGATGAAATTACCTACATTAATCAATTCTCATGATTTTTGGACATTTCAAAATATAGGTCTCTGTTGCTTTTTCCCAAGTACAAAAAATTCCCAGTCTAAGGGACTTCTTTCTAAGACACAAAATGTATTTTAAAATTTAGCAAATTAAATTAATCCATGGATGGAAGTGAGTATAAAATCAATATATGTGATCAATGACAATCACAAATTAATGACTAAGGAATAGTGCAAATAATTTGAGAGATCTCGAATCCATTTGTATTTCATCATGAATCTCACTCACCTTTGAGAGACTTCAACCCATCCATCAATCTGTTTTGATAGATCTTTCCATCTGCTGAAAAATATTTAGGTCACAGACATATTAAGGGGAGATTCATTCAGATAAAATATAAAATCCATAATTTTAAAGGGATATCTTTGAATATATATACTAGCTGAATCCAATTTAAGATAATAAAATTAAGTAGCAGAGAAAATTCTTAGTACAGACTTTTCACCTATCCAAGAGCAATACTACAGCTGGCTAAATTCCAAGATGAAACATTATTCTCTTTGCAATTTTTAAAAATTGATCTATTTCTTAACATCTATTAAGTTCTCCCCAATTTCTGTTTCTTAAATTTATAGCTGAATTTTTGGCCTCCAAAAATTGGAATACAAAATTAATATTTTCCCCTGATGGCAGGATTCATGATTACCATCTGTTAATTTCTAAACTGATACAGAACTCCTTCTCCTTCCCCTTCCCCTTCCCCTTCCCCTTCTCCTACCAGGAATTGAACCTAGAGGCATTTAACCACTGAGCCACATCCCCAGCCTTTATTTATTTATGTATTTATTTTTTAGTTGTTGATGGACCTTTATTTTTTTTTATTTTTATGTGGTGCTGAGGATCAAACCCAGTGCCTCACACATGCTAGGCAAGCGCTCTCCTACTGAGCTACAACCGGAGCCAGATACAGAACTTCTTAAGCCAGCATAGGATTGTGCTAATATTTTAAGATACATGTTCTTCCTTCCCTGATCATATAGAGATGATTTTAAAACTTTTCACTGAGTTCCCTTAAAGGATATATACTACTATTTGAAATTCTCACCATCTGTTGGTAGGTTTTTCAGCAGCTTCAGCCAGTCTTTTTCTGTGAGCTTTATCCCCATGTTTCCAAGAACTTTTTCCAAATCACTGAAATCAATCCCCCTTCCTTCAGAAAAACAAAATAGGATCATATGAGAATTTTAAGGATGACCTACTTCCAAAATATGAACAAACTTAGCTTGCTCTACATGAACTTTACCACTTGAAAAAGAGCAAAGACAGAGTGTGATATATGTAAATATACAATCAATAGCATTCATATAAATACATCCTTTTCTTTAACATTAGTAAAATTATCTATATCATATTAATAAAGACAACACAGTTGCAACCTTGTAGGGACTATCAATGCACAAGAAAAAGAGCTTGTATCATTACCTGTTAAATTAGGATTTTATTATGACTTATCCAAATAATTGTTATAGTATCAGATAGTGTTTCTGAACATCTTTAATAATAAAATCACCTATATCTTTATTGAAGCTTTATTTTACTATTCATTGATTTAATCTAGAATTTGTTATTTTTCTCTACATATATTAATATATTAATGTCATATCTAAACAACAAAGAAGTTGCTAACCAAAACACAGAACTGAAATTTTATTACTAAAATGTAATTCTAAGGCATTAGATTTTAAAAATTAATCAAACAAAAGATATAATGGCAAAATATAAAAATAAAATAATGTTTAAAATATAATTCTGAATAAAACTTATACTCTTAGATTTGTATTAATTTCTTTCTTTCTCTCTCTCTCTTTTTCTGTTTGTGTCTCTTTTTTTTTTTTTTTTGATGGTACTGGGGATTGAACCCAGGGTCTTGGGCATGCTAGGCAAGCACTCTACCAGCCAAGCTATATCCCCAGCCCCTAGATTTGTATTAATTTCTTACCTGTGAGAACTTTCACTCCATCCATCAACTTATCAAGGTCAACCTTCTCATTACCTATAAGAAGAGGTAAAAATGAGAATAAATGATGCAGTACAATGGAATATAATTGAGCCATAAAAAAAGAATGATATGATATCATTTGTAGCCAAATGGATGAAACTAGAGGACATTATATAAAGTAAAGTAAGTCAGGTGAAGAAAGATAAATTTGACATGTTTTCTCTTACATGTGGCTGCTAAGAAAGTTAGTACAAGCTGGATGTGGTGGTATATGCCTATAATCCCAGTGACCCAGGAGGCTAAGGCAGGAGGACTGCAAGTTCAAGGCCAGCCTTATCAATTTCGTGAGAGTCTCAGCAGTTTAGCAAGACCCTGTTTCAAAAAAAAAAAAAAACAGTTTGGGAATGTAGCTCAGTGGTAAAGTGCCCTGGGTTCGACCCCCAGTATCAAAACAAAAAGCAAAACAAAACAAAGTCAATAGGAATGTGAAATATTTGATTACTAGAAGCTGGAAAGGTAGGGACAGGGTAGACAGTGGGATGTTATGTAACAGGTATCCAAATAGAGCTAGATTGAAGCAGTAAGTTCTAGTGTTCTATAGAACAGGGAGCATACTATGTAGTTCACAACAATGTACTATACATTTTATGAATAACTAGAAGAGAGATGCTCAAAGTCTCTAAGTATAAAGGAATGATCACAAGATGGAAATGTTAATTATCCTAGGTACACGTATTGAAATAGCACACTGTATTTCATATACATGTATAGTTATTATGTTTTAATAAAATTTTTAAAATGTTTACTGAGCTGAAGATATTAATTACCCTGATTTGATCACTATATATTATATACATGCATTGGATTATCACCTCATATCCCATAAATTGGTATAATTAAAAAATATTTTTAAATGAACCAGACATGGAAAACTAAGGTATGAAGTCTCTAAACTGTGAAAGTCCATGCTTTGCAATTGTGCCCTCCATGTCAAACTTCATTTTACAAATCCTGGATTTCAGGGATTTTTTAATAGCAAGACATTTCCTATTCCCTAACCAGAGGTTGATAAATGCTTCATTGACCAAATCCAGTCCAGCACCTATTTTTTATATTGTCCATAAACTAAATACTGCATTTTCATTTTTAACTCATTGAAAATTCAAAAGAAAATATTATTTGTGTCATATAAAAATTACATGAATTTCAAATTTTAGTACTCATAAACACAGTTCCCCCCCCCCCCAAGTACTGGAGCTAACCCAAGGCATCACACATGCTTGGCAAGCTCTCTACTGCTGATCTATTCCCCAGTTTTATTGGAACACAGACACACTCATTTTCTTATGTATTGTCTATGCCTGCTTTTGTACGACAATATAAGAGTTGAGGATTATATGGCCTGAAAAGTCTAAAATATTTATTACGTATTTTTAATACAAATTCTGTCCTAGATGATGGAGTTTATACAGAGACATTATACTCTTCTGATTTGTTGAGATTCACCTTACTTTGTAAACATTAGAGAAACTATGATACTGGTCATAGTTTATAACCCTGTTCAATTATGCTATAGTCATAAAGCCTACCTGTCATTGTGTGATAAAAGGGAAAATGATAATACTTTTTCTATTCTATTCCATTGGTCTTTATCTCTGTTTCAATACCAATAACATGCTGTTTTGGTTACTATGGTTCTGTAGAATAATTTGAGATTAGGTGTTGTGATGCCTCCATTTTCATTCTTGGTCAGAATTGCTTTGGCTATTCTATATCTCTTTTTCTAAATCATCTCTTGGTTTATACTTTTTGAAATAGGTCTCAACTTAGGGAGAGAAGATAGCCCCTAATTTTTGTAAGACTTTAAAAGAAGGAAATTTAATCTAGCATGGAGATATCAGGAAAGGCTTATAAAATACTGTGATCCCTAGGCTGTGCAGCTTTACAAAAATTAAAAATTTCCAGGAAAATCATTAGGAAAAAGGGCATTCAAAATGGATGTAATAGTATAAGCATCCATCAGCTGTAAAAAAAAAAACATGCATTTCACAAATGAACATGATATTAAAACTCAGAAACTGTGAAACATGCCTAAGAAATTGAACAATCTTTATAGGCTGAGGCATTTTAACATATTTTAATCATTATATAAGCATGGCTTAGAAAAAAAGCTTTAAATATGACAAATACAAAATTCTCCAAGGTATTTTTGACTTCTATTATTAAACATAAACTATAAAAATGACAGGATAAAATCCAAAGTAGACTGTGTTAAGCTTCTTAGGCCTAACCACAACTGACCATCTCTTAGGATTTGCAGAAGATGCATTCCATATATCTTACTATAGATGCATTCCATATATCTTACTATAGATTTTAGAAATGATTCCAAAGTAATTAGTCGACACAGTAATTCTCTGACAAGGAGAACAACTTAGCTTATTTGTATTACATATGTAAATTATAAATCATTTCAAGGACATCTTTGCCATAGTAGTGAGAATGGACATTATGTGGTATGGAAAATACTGCATGTTTATTACATAATATTTTATCTTATATAAAATTTATTTTTAGAATAGATAATAAATTTAAAGGTTCAAAAATCATGTTATAAACAGACCTATTATGACATGACTATGATGTGTGTTCTTCGTATCCCATTTCACAGTAATCATCTTTGTTTTAGAGGCAACTAATATTATCACTTTCTTTGTAACTATTTCCAATGGATAAATAATAATTTTAAATTTATGGGATACAATGTGATATTGAAACAGGTATACACTGTACAAAGCTAATTGAAGCAATTAACATATTCATCAACTCACCTACTTTTTGTGGTGAGACTGTTTACAAAATTCACTCAGCAATTTTTAAATTATACAATATACAATGCATTATTATTAACTATGGTTGGCATGCTGTATGATAGAGCTTTAACACATTTCTCCTAACTGGAACTTTGTACCCTTTAAACAACATTTCTTCTTTCCATAGCCCCTCAACCCTCAACTTAACTACAATCTGATAACCACTATTCTGACTTATTGGTTCTAGAAGTTTGACTTTTTCATGTTCCACATGTAAGAACTATCATATGGCTTTTGTCTTTATGAGCCTGTCTTTTTGCACTTAGCATAATGTCCTTTAACTTCATCCATGTTGTCTCAAATGAAAGAATTTCCTTCTTTTTTAAAAACTGTATACTGTTCCCCTACGTGTACCCAAACATTTTCTCTATCCATTCATCTATCATTAGTAGTTTTCATATTTTGTCTGTTGTAAATAATGTTATGTGACAATGGAAGTTTATATATTGCTTCAACATGTTGATTTCATTTTCTCTGGATATGCACCAAGAAGTAGGATTGATGGATCATGTGGTAATTCTATTTTCAGTTTTTTGAGGAACACTTCCATACTCTTTTCTAAAATGGTTATACTAATTTACATTCCTAGCAACAGTATGCCAAGGTACCCTTCCTCTATAGGCTCACCAATATTTGTTAGTCTCTTCGAATATAGCCATTCTAACAGGTATGAGGTGATATATCACTGTGGTTTTATTTTGCATTTCCTTGATGATTAGAGATGTTGAAGGATTTTTTCATATATTTGTTGGCCATTCATATGTCCTCTTTTGATAAATACACATTCAGATATTTTGCCCATTTTAAAAAAAGGTTGTTTCCTTGCTCTGGAGTTCTTTATATATTATGACCCATCTTTATCTCTTCACTGTTTCTAGCTTAAAGTCTATTTTGTCTGATAAAACACAATATCCTTGCTTTCTTTAGGTTTCCATTTGCAAGAAATATCTTTTTCTACACCTTTATTTTTAGTTTTTGTTTCTACTGAAGACCAAATTGAGTCACTTA